CGGCCAAAAACCCTTACTGAGGCCGACAAAAATCGTCTTGTGGAAGTTATTCATGATAATCCAAAGACTACACACGAGGACCTCCTTGCTGAGGTTGATCATAAAGTTAAGATCCGTTCAATCCAACGCCTTTTGAATGCCGAGAATTTACGAAAATGGCGATATAGTTGGCGGCCCTACTTGACTGAGGAACATGCTATAAAACGACTTAGCTGGGCATATCAATATCGACACTTTACGCCTAGCGATTGGGCACGTTTTTTTTGGTCTGATGAATGTACTGTCGAACGAGGTATTGGCATTCGACGAGAATGGTCTTTTATTCGTCCGAAAGACCAACCAAGACTAGGCCAATGCCAAGGTCTACCATATCGTGGAAAGCAAGTTAAACAGATGTTTTGGGCTGCGTTCTCGGGAGATGAACGACGTACGGGATTGATTCCTTTATTTGGCGATTCGAATTCTGAACGAGGAGGTGTAAATCGCTTTGTTATCGAAGCTTTATACCGCCGGATTCTACCTATCTTAATTGATAATGAAGATGGGATTTTTCAACACGATAACGCGCCAACACATACTGCCCACGTTGTACGAGATGCCTTAGTCGAATTAGGGGTTGAGGTTATGGACTGGCCACCCCATTCGCCTGATCTTAACCCTATCGAGAATCTTTGGGCGTTGCTAAAGGCAAAAATATATGAAATTCGGCCTGACCTTATCCATATGAGGAATAACGATACTACAAAGGATATACTAGTTAGTACTGCGCAAGAGGCATGGGATCAGCTTGATACTAGACACCTCCAGCACCTCTCCGAGACGATGCCTCATCGTGTGGAAGCAATTATTGAGTCTCAGGGCTGGTATACACCTTATTAGCAAGCAGCAAATGGAAGTTTTTGGCCGGCAGAAAATTATGTAATATAGGGGGTGTGGGGCGGGTGTGTTAAAAACTTATGTCCAGTCACTGTATGTAGAAATGCTCTGGTTTTTCGTGTATTTTTAATACAGTGCTTGTGTGTATCTTACAAATCATGATAGAGGTAGTATAGCTCATAAAGCGCTTTCATTTCGGAATTATCGAGTTATTTGGCGATATCATTCATTGATTTATTTACGTTTCTTTGCATACAGTTATTCATCTTCATCTCTCCGCCGCTTCGGTTGCCGATGGAGGCGCTGGCTACTTATGACCCCCATACTTGGTAGCGGAGGGTTTGTTGAGTTCCCATCATCCTCATCACCATGCTCAGTATCCTTGTCATGCTCAGCATCCTTCTCGGGCTCAGCTTCTTTATCATCCTGGTCATGCTGAGCATGCCGAGATCCATACCCCTCAAGACTTTCATCGCTCTCAGGTAAACTGTCAGCGTCATCACCCTCTTCGTTGTCACTGATCGGCTCAGGAGTATGCTCAGGAGCTCGTGCCTCCGCCTCAATATCTGCCTCCATTCTTTCATTCTGATCAGGACTCTCAGTCGGCAAATCACCCTCAGCGTTTCCAACGTCAAATCTTGTCATACAACGAAGCATCATTAGATCTTGAATGGTCCTCGCATTCCAAGACCCTCGTCTGTAATGACAGATATCCCGAGCAGAGCTGAAAGACGCTCTACACCCGCGCCCGTAGCTGGGATTGAGAAAAACATCCCGTGCAAGAGCAGCGAGGGTTGGAAACTGGGTCTCATGTGCCGTCAAGAATTGTCATGGGTCAATTTCGTCAATTCGTAATATAATTAGCAATTTGCTCCTTTTTTTTTATAGAGGTAGATGGTATACATGGAGGTTTAAATATTCTCTAAGCCCATCCTGCCAGTCGAAGTTCTCCTGCGGAGCTATTTGGGGGCTATTCTGTACCATAAGGGCCCTCGTAGTCCCGTACTGTGCTGGTTTCCTACCCTTATCTACCACTGAGGTAGTAGGAATTTGCTGGAAGTACTGTTCAAGGGTATTTATGCAGAGAAACCTCGTACTCATTATACCAATTCTCATCATCGCCAATCCAGTGTTCTGATTTAAAGAATTCGAGCTTGTATGACGGCGCTAGAATCGTTCCCATTGCTTAAAGGTACCCATGAGACTGCTCAGTATTCTAAAGTATTCCGCAAGCCTGTTCCGTCCATGTTGGAGAGCTTTAAGCATTGCTTGTTTCTAGGACACCCTTTTGCGCCGAAGCCGAGACATAGATTCTTCAAAGTGAGTAAACAGCCGGTTATAGACCTCGAAGACACTGAGAATGGTAGTGTCTTTTGGCCTTTGAGAGACCTTAGGGTAGGCACTCAATCTGTCACCATTCTTACTGGCTTAATCGAAATTCCAACCGATTGTGGCCAGTAGCCGTTGTTGTTTTCATGCTGCCCTCATGGCGCGCGGCTTTGAAACTGTGGTGATGCTTCAGCGGAATCCAAGCTAGCTTCCACTGACTTAGTCCGTGAAGCACTGTCAATTTTATCTCCTACCTCTTCTCAGGGTCATTCTAACAGAGCTGACATGCTGCTGAGCGCGTCGCCAACCTTCCATCAGAGCTTCTTTTTACCCGACTCGCACTCGGGCCCTGAAGCTGGTCTTGCAATACCAGTGAAAGTAGTCTAAACTATGCTATACATGGTAGGTTTAATGCTGATCATGAGCTTCATGCTTGGCAATGCAGGCATTTCATGCCTAGAGAAGCCATGAATCTCAACATATTGAAAGACATTGTTCCTAAATACCACTGCAGAGGTCATGCTTAGCTGGTAGTGTGGCTCACTTCTTCCCAAAAACTACATTTATCTTGGTACCTATGTCGGGATTTCTTCCATCGCCACCATTGCTATAGGAGCTTTCGCGGGTATGCTCCGAGCACTGCACAATATATATGTATAGAGATATCCCATACATTCTAGGTCCTTTTTTTGTCTGGACTGTACCTAGGTCTGCGGTCAAGCTGCATAAGATCTTCCTGGACACGATAATGAGGTTAGTAATGGATACTCCCTTCAACTTAGACTGAATTTTTTCTTGACGAGCTTTTTAGATCACCTTGGCCGAGCCTTGCTCGGATAGATACAGGAAGTTGATCAATAGGTAAGCCATATATTTGGCAATTCGCAAGGTTTGGAATTCAATTGATAAAACTAAAAGTTCCGACTCTCTTCAGGTTTAGCCAAGACATTTCTCTTCTCGACATGCAGCTTCCTGTTGACTTTGGTATAACTCTTCAAAGCGCGACATCTCTTTTCCTTTAACGTTAACAAAACATTAAATGCGAACTATCCAGTAGGCCGTTTGACTTGTATTGTACAAGGAGCCTTAATCGCTACTGGATCAGGCTACATGTCTGTCATAATTTCCTTCTGCATCATTGCAGTATGGATAATCCAGGCTTTCTACTTGCGTAGTTCACGACAGATCAGACTCCTCGATCTGGAAAAAAAGGCTCCTCTTTACGCCCACTTTATAGAAACCATAGAGGGTTTGACTAGTGTACGTGCACTTCACAGGCAACGTCAATTTACTGATCGGAACCTCAAGCTTCTCGACACGTCCCAGAAACAATTTTACGTCATGTCTTGTATTCAGCAGTGGTTGCAGGTTGTTTTGGATCTACTAGTCGCAGACCTTGCCACCGTTCTGGTAGCATTGGCTGTTTTTGTGACGAAGCAAACTAGCTCTGGGGCTGTCGGCGTTGCTCTTGTGAACTTGCTTTTCATTCAACTCAACGTTGACATTGCTGGCTACCAACTGGACACAGCTTGAGACTTCTCTAGGGGCAGTGGCAAAAGTCAAACAATTTGTGTCTGACCCACAGCTACAACCTATTGCTAGAAGAGAGATAGCTCGTCTACAGGATTGGCCTTCGGAGGGTCGAATAGAATTTCGAAGGGTTTCCGCGTCATATGGGTAAGCATCCCTTTGAGCATCGCTCTTTAAATAATATCTGAAATGGGAGAACCGAGAGAACTATTGAGTAAAATGGGCATGTTTTGGCAGTTATTCCGAGCGAAGACAACATAGAAGGTTTCAATTGAGGTCAGAAAAGAGAAGTTCTTAGGTTCCACTACAGCTATTGCTTGCAAAATTAATATTAAAAACAAAGGGTGTATCTCTGAATTGCTGGATCAGTGCCCAGGCCGTGCAATAACCTCAGCTTATATTGTTGTGTTGGACAAAAAATGCCAGTTTATCCAATAGTAAGTACGACGTAGATGCCCGTCTTATGTCTAACAACACGATGTGAGGATGGTCAGTCTTTGTTGGGAGCCCTGGCTGGTAGATACTGAGGTGGCGTCTTTGAGGGTCATCCGGAAAATGTTAACCATGACATAAATGAAGCCTTACGAGGCGATCAGATGAAACTGCCAGCAATCAGCGAAGTTAGTGAATATCAATAGCCAAATTTAAGTTTCAATAATATAAAAAAAAGAAAAAAACGGAGACAATAATAGGGGATCTGGATAACCCGCCAATGTATTTACTACCCCCTGTGATCATTATAAGCTGATATAATCGAGGTGATTTGATTCGTCTGAACTGCTAAAGTGATGCCTAGGTTCCGGTCGCCTCCAGTAATAGCCCATTTTCCCGTACCCTCTTAAGATATCCCCGACTTTTGATCGCTATAGGGTCGACAAGTAGAGGGCTATGTATACTCCAAAGCAAATGCGAGAGGAGGTAGCTTATTATAACTTGCTAAAATTTGAGACCAATCGGAGCTGATTATACCTATGCATTCTGGAGACTGCAGCTGCCCCAGTGGGATAAGGTTACTACTTCAAGTCATTTATCATTTCATTTCAGAGGAAAAATGAACTGTATTGAGTAGCTGTATTCGAACAGCACATCCTCTTGTTTGAACTGTTCGCTCAAGAGCTGTTGTTTTGCCCTTTTCCGCGACCTTCAAAGCTCCAATCGATTTGTGTGGCCATCCTCACCTTCACTCCCAACTCATTGGCAAAGGCGCGAACCAAGCCAGGATTCTGCTGGAACCAACGTCCCGCCTGGACTGCATCAATACCAGATTGCACCACCTCCTCTGCTAGAGGCCCAGTTTTGATTCCACCGACAGCGGATATCAATATCTTGTCTCCCACAGCTTTCTTGATTTCCTGGGCTAAATGCACCTGATAGGCAGGGCCCGGCTTGATAGCAATCGCAGATTTGGCGTGAACACCGCCTGAGCTGACATCCACCAAGTCAACACCACGGTCAGCCAAGAGCGGGACGAGCTGAACCGACTGGTCAACTGTCCAGCTCTCGGAAAACTCTTTCTTCAAGTCATCGTCAAACTCGAACCAATCAGTTGCACTGATCCGGATCATTAGGGGCGTTGTTTCCGGAATACTAGCCCGGATTGCCTCGGAGACCTCTAAGAGTAGTCTGATCCTGTTATCGTAGCTGCCTCCATACTGATCCGTTCGTTTGTTGCTAACAGGGCTCAAAAATTGGTGTAATAGATATCCATGAGCGGCATGAATCTCGATAGCATCAAAATTGGCTTTTACAGCCCTTTTCGCAGCCTCTGCGAAGTCATTTTTCAAGACTTCGATATCTTCCAAAGTTAGGGCCTTTGGAACGGTGTTGATTCCTTCCTCGTGAGGGACGGCTGACGGGCCAACAATTTTATCCGGCCACCCACCAACTTCCTTCACAGCCATAGCGTTAGCGCTCAACCAGGGGGCGACGGCACTGGCCTTTCGACCCGCGTGAGCTAATTGAATAGCAATCTTCTGACTCTGGCTGTGTGCAAACTCGGTAATCCGCTTCAACGGCTCGATATGGCCATCTTCATAGAGACCAAGGTCTTGAGGCGTGATACGGCCCACTTTCTGTACGGCTGTGGATTCCATGATTGCTATTCCTGGGCCGCGCTGGAGAATCCCACCTAGATGTGCTAGATGCCAATCGGTAACATAGCCATCTTTGGCAGAGTACTGACAGAGGGGAGCAAGGAACAGACGGTTTGGAAGCGTCACACCGCGGATGGTAAGGGGGGTGAACAGTTTGATTGACCCTTCCAGTTGCGTGCCTGCGGGAGGCTCTTGAGCTGGCGTGTAGTAGGAGACGCCCTGGGCCGCGACGTTGTCGATTATATTTTGTGCCATGATTTGGGTAATATTCGGCTGGAGGCTTGAAAAGGAGCTAACTAATAAAACACGCATAGAACGGTCAATTATTTGAGAATTCGAAAAGAGCACTAGCGAACAATTAAGTGCGAGCGACTTGTCGACATACATCTTACGACCGTATGCACTTACTGATTACAAATTAAGCGTGAAGAGTGTGATATTATTAATGTAATGGGCAATCACGTAACCTGATCCCTGTGGCTGTGTGTATCAGATTCGGATACATGATTGGACATGAACAAAAGAACAAAGGAGTCTAATCCTTATCTACTCCACCGACCCCAACAACAAGTGGAAAACATGTATCATTCCGAATATTGAATCGGACATTGGCTCCAATTAGACCTTGTGTTTTCTTTGACTGATGCAGACAGCCTTGGGGTCCCAGTACACATGTACGTTTACGTGCTCAGCTCCTCGTTTCACTTGACGTTACGTACTCCACCTTTACCCCTTGAGTGAGGTAATATTATCCTCGCTCTCAACAAATCGAACAAAAAATCCAACATTTTCAGTTGCACACACCAAGATGTCATGGAAAGCCATAAGCAAAGAAGCCCAAGGCGCGGTCCTGGAGTCCATACCCTCCCGTTGGCGGCTGGATATCGAAAAATACAAGTCGCTGAGGGATGTGACAAGCGTGCCGTATACCAGTGGCATAATGACCAAAGACCAACTTGAAATCACCGAACTCACAGCCGGGGAGATTGTGAAATGTGAATCTCGAGAGTGGAAAGCAGTTCAGGTCTTGGAGGCTTTTGCCGCTCGGGCTGCCATTGCTCATCAGCTGGTATGTTTAATGTCCTTAACAACTTTGTTGTCGGGCTAACTTCAGCAACAGGTGAATTGCCTCACTGATTGGTTTTTTGAAGATGGTCTCCGGCAGGCGAGAGAGATTGACGAGGCTCTTGCCAAGGGTGGGAAATTGAAAGGGCCATTGCATGGTGTTCCTGTCGCTCTCAAGGTACAAAATATACATTATCGGATACGATTTGGCCATAAACGGACTCACATAATGACTTAATAGGACTCCCATGAGCTTGGAGGCCATGCTGCAACAATGGGCTACGTTGCAAGGAAGAACAATATCGCCAAGCGGGACTCTGCTCTTATATCAACATTGCGAGACACTGGTGCAGTCTTTTTCTGCAAAACAACGATGCCTCAGTCAGGTATGGCCCTAGAGACAGTCAGTAATCTCTGGGGCCGCACTGTAAGCCCGTTCAACAGAGACCTGGGTGCCGGCGGTAGCTCGGGAGGAGATGCAACTTTGGTAGCTCTGAGAGGCAGTCCCATAGTCCCCTCGACTGATATGGGGGGATCTATCCGCGTACCGGCTGCCTTCAACGGGCTATATGGTATCCGACCAACTTCGGATCGCATACCCAAGGGTGGCATGCAAAACACTAACACCGGGAATCTTACGATAAAACTGTCTTGTGGGCCTGTGTGCCACTCTCTCGACGACCTTGAGTTCTTAACTAGAATAATTAATGCGCACCCGAACAACAAATACGATGTGACTTCCGCGCCTGTTCCCTGGAGAAATCTGGATTCTCTAGACCGCAAACTCACGATCGGAATATTGAAGTGGGACGGAGCCGTAATGCCTCATCCACCAGTATTACGAGCTCTAGAGCACAGTAAAATGACACTGGAAAAGGCCGGACATGAAGGTAGGTGGACTACCCGACCCTCTTCAGTTAAGAGTTCCAATAGAACCATTGCTCATCACATTTACAGTCCTTACATTCGAGCTACCTTTTGATGCCTGGGATGCTATGTAACTTACAGTACGTATTCCAGCAAAATGGGTCTGAAGCTGCGGATTCAATGCCAATTTAGTTCGGTATTTATTATCTGTCAGGGTCTCACGACACTAAGTCGACTCTGGCAGCTTCTGGAGAGCCTATCATACCAGCTTTTGCTGATCTGCTCAGAGTTTTCAACCCCCGAGAGCACTCTGCTGGAGAAGCTTTACAAGTACGTACTTCTCTCGTGTTACTGATAAAGTCATACTGGAAGAGCGGAGAACGCTGATATAGGGAACAGTTGAACCTCAAAACGAGGACCTCAAAGAGCAATTCGCGGAGACATGTAACAATACAGTCGGTCCCTTGGGCCATACCATTGATGCACTAATAGTGCCCCCAGCGCCTGCAGTGGGCTATCCTCATGACTTCAGCATCTATCGGGGGTATACCTCGTTGTTCAATCTTCTTGACTATCCTTCTGTCATCTTACCAATTCCCAACTTCAAGGTGGATCCTCAGCTAGACTCCGTGGACGACAGCTACCGACCGTCGGAAAATAATCCCTACCACAAACCCGATCATGAATTGTGTAAGCCTTCCAAGAGTGTTCAATTCCATCTCACAAGACAGCATCTAATGTTTCATCGTTAACAGATGATCCGGAACTGTTTGCAAACCAACCATCCACTATTCAAATCGTAGGGCGCCCCTTCGAGGACGACGAAACCATTCGAGTAGGCTCGGTATTAGATACATTGTTCTGGGCTCCTTAAGTAGAGTGAATTTGGGAATGCTGGATATGGATATTTGTTCAATTTTTTAAGGACTTCCGATTTGTTAAACCCCTCTGTCATGCTGCAAACATCAACTACGTAAGCCAGGCATCACCCAAGGAAGCATTTACCCTATCCTGGAAATATATTGTCGGCAGAAATGCTCAATGCTCCCCGATGTTCAAATCCATAGATTGATCTGAGAGCCGATGAAATGGACAGCCCTCAATTAGTTGACATCATTCATTGATCATCTGATTAAGCCCTCCCTAGCGGTTTCAAAAGTCTTCCGTCGATGCGATGACAATTGGTCCGTCGTAGTGAATACGAATCTTTGCCAGGGTGTGGTAGCTTCCGAGTGGACTCCGAAGGTGACAAACGACTCTATCATCTACTTGGAGCTCTAGTCCACAAGGATCTGAGCTTCAACTGCAGAATATTGGGAAACTATTTGTCCCCCATTTAGCTCTTCTGGAAGTTTTACAGTGGAGCAGTACCCAAATTCCCAAGGACAATTGTGCATTTTATCACATCCAAGTTCATCTACCTTCCCCTCTTGTTCCCTAAGAATGGAGTCATCGATAAACATCATCAGTTTCCCCTGGGTCATTCTTCTTGGGCCGGTATTTGCAATACTATATTTCCTTGTGCCTCATTCCTAGACCTTTCGTCACTTGCGGGATATATCTGGTCCCCTTGCAGCCCAATTCTCAAACCTTTGGCTTTTGCTTGTTTGTTGGGCAGGCAAGCGTTACAAATACGTTGACGAAGCCCATACGCGATATGGTCCCATCCTCCGCATACAATCAAATCACATCAGCATTGCTTATGAGAAAGCCATTTAGACTTTATATGGCCATGGGAGTGGTTTGCTTAAATCGTAAGATTCTCTTTCCTTTTTTCTTTTTTTTTTCTTTTTTGGTACACATACTTGCTAAAACCCCTCAGGGACTGGCACGATGCTTCTCTTATAACAACCTGCAGTGTATTTACTTCCAGGGACCGTGCCAAGCATTCTCGCAAAAGAAAACGGCATCGCCTAGTTTCTCCCCACAGTCAATGCGAAACTTTGGACTGTTCATCCATCATAGTTGAAAGTTTTTCTCGAGAAGTGGGATAACGTCGCGGAGAAAGAGGCCCAACCTGACGGCTATGCAAATGTGGAAGGTCGCATATGGCTCAAGTAATTCTATCTTCAATAAATATCTTGCACAGGCTGAGAACTGACGTGGCAGTTCCTTGGTCCTTGATATCATTAGCGATCTGGCCTTTATTGCCCCGTTTGGTGTCCTTGAAGGGGCTTCCGAAGTCATTATGATCCGCACGAGTGATGACAGGACCATGTCTCTCCCCGTCATTACGAGTCTCACCACGAGGAGTGAAATTGCAGCGACTGTAGCGGTACTCCCCGAGCTGCAACCGTATCTGAAATGGATTCCAGATCCTTTCTTCCACGGGGGCATTACTGGAATGAACAACTTGCGCAGCCTAAGGACTGTCCGCATCTTGGATCGCCTCAATAATCCACTGAGGGTAGGGGCAGGTCGACACAAGAACTTACTCGAACGCGTGCGAGAGGGTCGAGACGACAAAGGCCGCCTTTTGGAAAGGAGGAGCTCACCGCTGAAACTTTGACTGTGTTTATAGCGGGAACCGACACGCCAAGTAGCACATTTGCCGCGTTGATGTATGACGTTATAGCTGGTGTCCTTCGAAAGCTCCGAGCAGCGCTCAACTCGGCCCTTCCAGCAGACAATGAGGTGCCCTTGTATGATAAGGTCAGACACTTGTCCTATCTGTGAGCTATTATCAATTAATCCCACTGGCACCACTCTTCTATTAGCCTAATCTTCCTCGCGAAAATACCACGAGGCACTCAAAGACTCACTTTCAAGCGGTATTACTATCCCCCAGGCCCAGTATTGAGTGTCCCAATTTACGTGGTCCACCATTTGAACCCTGTAAAGGTCTGAGGCAGTCGAACAGAATGAGCAAAAGCAGATAATTCACGCCAGCAGAAGTGCAGACGGGGAAAGAAGTGGGGGGTTAGGCTTAGGCTTAGGGTTAAACCATTAAGAAGCCCAAGGGCAGGAGCAAGAGACAAAAGGCAGACCACCATAGACTCTGCCTAGGAATTTGCCGTTATGCATCACGATCTCAAAGCCCACTATCGTCTGACCAATCTCTGGCTTGGCAGGACTAGGTGACGTACTTCAGCGTTGGTGGTGTAACCGTTCGATTGGGGACCCCTATTGTCTTGTATCAATTGGCTGTTATGGCTTGGTAGTGGTGTAGGAGTATGAAGCCTCGTGTCACGCTTATCAAACACCCGTGATGGCTCAAATGACACTTATCCCGCACCTGCGAAGGTATTCCAGATACGGGCAGATTGAGGCCTCTACGCTCGCGGCGTGGTATTCCGCGATAATATTAAGCTTGCCAATATCCGTGGTGCTACAGCTATGAGGGGCCACCTAGCGCGATGTCTTCTGTGATCTAAAATATTGTTACGGTTTTTATTCCTGAGAAAATACAAACTCGCAATGCAAAATAGGGCATACCAATGTGACTGGACGAGACGGACCAGCCTATAGAAAAGCTCTGACTCTTGTTGCTTGGCAATCCCGTAAGACACACAGGGGAATGAGATAATCAACAGAATTAATTCAGAGCTCATGCGAGCAGATTATATCAATGGGTCTAAACATTCGTTCTCGCAAACACCTATCATGCTCCTCGGTGCTGTGCACGCTCGTTTGACATCTTAGAGTATGGCCAACTCTTGAGGGTGCTGACTTCGTGCGCTAGAGCACTTAGAAAAGTCTCCTCCGAGGATGCCTTCTTGTTGGATGCTGAATAAGTTTCGTTTGACTTGGTGGCATGCGATTTGTCAAGGTCCACAACAGGGACATTGACAAAGTAGCTTAGAGATGGTCGGGACTCCTTGCTTTGAAGGGAATGTAGAAGAGCTGAAGAGTTTGGGTAGGTGAGGTATCCACTAAACTGGTCTTGGAACCAGGCAGCTGACTTTGCAAATTCAAGCGGCGTGATGTTGTACTTGGTCAACTTGTCGAGGCCTTTGGCTCCCACCCAGCTGTGGCCTGAGATGTTGTTAATGTCCTGGGCGATGATAAAGAAGTAGCACATGTCGTTCTTATCACAGGTGCGGGCTTCATCATCCAGAATCATAAGATCCATCGCAGACGGCCTTTGACCATTCACCTTGGTAGATGCCTTCGCAATAAACAGGCCGTCCAATGCCCAGGCGGTATTGATCGCAGAAGCCGCCAGTCCGGTTATAGTCGCCTTCTTCAACAGGTCTGTAGAATTGCGAAGGGCCATTTTGAAAGTGTCAACGTCTTTGAACTCGTTTTTGAACCTAACGATGGGGTCAGTGTTAAGAAGTATAATACCGATGCTATGCAGCACCACTCACATCTTCGCTACATCAGGTTGAATAGCAATGACTATTCCGGATGCAAAAGAAAGTCCGGTGCTACTAATGTCGGCCCACGCTGAGGATGATGAAGAGCCAAAGGAACGAATTAACAATTTCAGTGTTCCCTGAGCGAGGCCAAGGTAGCCACTGACACCCCTGGCGCTAACGTCGTAATGAGTGAAGTTCGTCACAAAAGCTGTAGCCCGTGTTCGCGATTGCGTCCATGACGTGGTGATTCTCTCACCAACCTTCCTCCACCATTCACGCGATTTTGTAATGCCCAATTTGGTGTATTTAACCGCAGGCTTCACAACATGTGTTTCACAGCTAGCAGTATCGGAAATGTCGAAATAACACTCGCTGATTCCGGCTATGATGTTAAAAGTCTTCATGAACGAAAGAGTCTCGGACACTTTGCTGGTCGAGTTGGAATTGCTAAAGTAAACATCCGCACTAGGAAGCATTAGGCTCAAAAACTCCTTTCGATGGTAACATGAGGGTCTTACAACAACTTGGCCCATTTACCCAGATCGAGCTCATCCGTGCCATTGTTCACGTTGACACGAATAAGCGGGCTTGATGGCTCTGTACTTGTCGTTGAAATCATCTCGGTGATAATTGTTGCTGTTGTTGTGGGCTCGGAGATTGCAGTCACGGATCGTGGAAGGCGATGGCCAGGGATGGCCATTGCTCCTGCCACTATACCATGTGTCAATAAATATGAAAACGGGGCTGCCGACAGGAGGTCAAAAATGACGCACCAAGCAGAAAGCAGAGATATACATAGTGCATGGTGGGCAAGATTGAGATACAGCTCGAGGCCGAAGATTTGATAGGATAAAATGGGCAAAAAGAGAAACAAAGTTGGATGATCTAAAGCATTAGATATCGAGGGAAGAGCCCCGTCTTTTATATAATTCGATGCCACGCTTCCCGTTAAACGGGGCATACCACGCCAACATTATTAGAGAGGATCATGGACACAATGCTGGACCCATGTTTGAGGCCCGCGTTGCCTAATTGGGACTGTGTTGCGAGATTGGCATGACGCAACATTCAGGCTCTGTCAGAACAGTTGGAAGACAGTGGAGATGATGATAAATTAGTTTTCTTTTTGGCTTTGAGATATCTGCTGAATGGGGCCAGATATGAGCAGGATATGAAGGCACTGAATCCAAATAGCTGCATACTTGGGGCTGAAAAACTAGCTAAACGGCACCTGTGCATCGCTTGACAGCCCGGTATTTCCCACAACTCCTGGAGACTCGTGGTCGTGACATGTTGGGGGCCATACAGAGTACTAATCCGTCAAAACGCAAGGGAAAGGGCAAGGGAAATGGGCGTGTGTGAAATTTGTGAAATTCAATCAGTGCGCTGATCAGTTTGAGAGGCTCTCGCCAGGGTTTCAAGAGTCAGAGCCGAAGCTTCAGCTCTCATGCCTATGTTCAGCTGGAGATCTTCTACGATCGGCCCCCACTTGCGGGCTACCAGGAAACGTGTCAAGAAGAGAGTTAGTTTTGCTGGACAAAACGTGGCAATGAAAATAAGCAGACATAAGCTCGCCGACCTATCAAAGGCTAGAGTTACTCTCCCCTTCCCACCCCCCTTCTTTAAAATTCCATTCAGCATCTAGTAAACAAGCAGATAATATCACTATGGACGGAAATATTGATTCCCCGGTAGACTCACACAACTACACTCAAAGCGAAGCACTCTATCTGTATGTCCTTGTTCACGCCGAGGACGCACGAATCGCTTGATACTCTTTCAAAGCAGAGAGACCATAATACGGCACATGAAAGATAGAAAAGTGGAGCACTCCCGACAACCCAGCCACTGCATCAGCTGCCTCGCCATACCTTTCCGCTGAACAAAACATTCCCGGGTCTACAGTGAGGAGGTCCATTTCTGCCAGTGCCTGGTCCAGCCCCCACGAGTGTCCTATCGTTTTAAGACACTGTATTACCCATCGGCGTTGCGGATGAGTCGGCCCTTCGATTATACCAGCAATGAATAATGGCCAGAGTAGCATGAGGCCACCCAAGTAGCTCTCCGGAGGAAGAATAGGTGTCTCTGGCAGAACTTCGGAGTTACAAGCACCAAGATGAAAGGGTACACTGCGACAGATGTCGGCACCTAAGCGACGGATGGTTGCGCGCAGTGACTTGCAGTGTGAGCGAAAGTCTTCAGATAAGGAAGTAGCCGAGCTGTTAGACAGCTTGTGGGCATGCGATAATATAATTTCGCTGACAAGAATGCGTGCGCAGCGGTAATGGTTCCAGCAACTTGGCGCCCAGATGTCAGGGTAGAGGTGGTATTCGTTGTTCAAGGGTCGAATTCCGTGGCACCGGCGTTCAAAGGCGCGGTCTAGTGGCATTAATGTATGGCTGCTGTATGTAAAGTCTGGTGGTAGGGTAACCAACCAGGCGATGAGGTCTGCTTCGATGGCACAAGCCGCACTAAGAACTTCTTGGGGATTGCTGTTCGCATTTGCGTGGATATCTGCACGTAGATTTGCCAGATTGCCGATGATGGTAATCAGCTTATTACCAAGGGCGTCCTTCACTTGGGGGATCATATCGAGCTTAGTTGTCTCCAGTAGAGAGCCGGGTACCCGTATGTCGCGCTGCAGGCAACTTATAATCTATGAGCGGATTAGCATCGTCTAAATTATTGCAGGAACGGACGTATGCGCACGATCTGATATCTTAAATGCAAAAACAGCCGAACTCCAGCCTCCGTCAGCAGCTGTCCAAGTCCCCGGTATTCTAGTAGAGCTGCAGCTCCAGAAATATGGTTTGTCCAGCTTTCAATACCCTGCGGAGCCCTCGATATGACGATCTACCAATGTTACCATTATAACTTTTTGTGAGTTTAAGGGTGCGGCGCTTACTTCGTATAGAGACAAAAGCACGACTGCGCCAAGAGTTTGGTTTGTCTTGGCCTCGTCGGCATTAGCCAGCGCCTCGTTGACCATCTTGAGCGCAGAGCCATACTCTTGACGCGCTGTCTGTCTCAGTGATTTGACGTTCTGAACGCGCGAGAGCATGGCGCTGGCAACCGCCACAATGCTAGACTGTATAGCCTGTTGGCTCAACGACCCACCGCGCTGCATAAGAAAAGTGGTCAAAGAGTCCGTCATCAGAGATGTACCAGGAATGGCATGTGACTGCAGAAAAAAGCAGATAGCCTCTTGCCTCGACAGCCCCGTGTTAGGATGTGTCTCCCGAGGACTCTGTCTGAGCTGGCGCGTCAGAAATTGATGCTCAGGGTCGGAACCGAAGTAGACTTCTGTGTCTTCTGAGAAGCTTGTCATTGAAGAGGATACAACATTCTGTCCATGGAAAGCGGTGCGGCCCGGTCGGGCCGGCCCTTGACGTCTGAGAGAACCTGTCGTAGAGGCAGAAGAAGACCGAGAAGAACGCGCCTTGCGTCTGACTGATTCACTTTGGTCGCGGAACATCAGTGACAGCTCATCGCGATAGCCAGAGCATTCTCGGTTAGTTCGAGTACATTCCCAACACACTGGGCGGGCTTGGTCGCACCGGATCTTACGCGAGCGGCAGTTACCGCAGCCTTTGCTCGGTTTCCCATCGTATACCATAATTCGAAAAAAGAAAAGTAAAAAAATTTGGATGTTGATGGATGTGATGGGACAACCATTTTCAAAGGGGGGGAGGGAGTCCGTCATTCTGCGGCTGAAGGGCTGATTGAGCCGCCCCACAACAACTGACTCGGACTAATGACAGAATGCAACCATAAGGGTCAATTTATAGAATAATGATGCATAGCTCAACGCGTAGCCTGCTCTACAGCTTACGTCTACGAATAGAGTGTTTATGAATTTCAGTTTTACGATCGGCGTGAAGTGGTGGAAACCTACACTTACGAGCTGTGACATAAGTTACTTCTCACTTCTGCTGGCGGTGGAAGTTCGCCAATGACCGAGGGAATCGATGTGAGAATATATATAGGGCTGATATTGCTCTCTAATGGAGTGACAGTGGAATATCATGGAATGGGTTGTTCGACACACACATATAAATATATATACTAAGCTTGCTACTGAAATGGGGATGCCACGATGGTAATCGGGTATAGCAGACGGGTCGATGTCACCGAAGTGGATAGAACCAACCACTCCCCTGATCGGTGGAAGTCGTAAAGGGCGGCCTCTATGGCTTAGGCCACTAGGAGGCCGGTACTGTATCATGAAATCAAGAATTCGAAGAAAATGTAGTCATATTGCGGTGTTTGGATGATTGTCCTCTTGTAGGATGAAAATGAGTTAGTAGTCCCTGCCATTTTGCTGCCTGAGACCGCTATTCTACTGAAGGACGCGGTTGCACCACTACACTGTATGAAAACTAATATTCAAGAAGCCATCCTTTCACGTGATATGCCCAAACCCGTAGCTCGACTGTATCGGTCGGGTAATTTATGTTTCTTTGTCCCAGGCATATCACCTAGACTCCTGACGCGAGAATGAATCTCCAGTTCAGCATCGAAAGAAACGCCGTTGTCCCCCAAGAGCCTAAGCCAGATCCATATCACTTAAGCCAGCGCCGATGATCAAAAAGTGAGGTTTGCCGATGGATCAAAAATGAAGGTGATGGTTTCAAAAATAACACCAAGATTTTTGAAGATTATCTTGGAGGGCTAATCCGGATCTGAGCTATGAGGCTTGACCTCGAGCCTAAGATTTTGGTTTGATAATTCACCTAAGCCCGTGTACCGACCCAGTACGGGGTAGGATGCAGCTAAATTTAGCGGTATTAGGTAGGTTATATCCGTGTAATTATGTCTTATCTCGATCGATATCCTGGAGCGGGAGGCGCGAAATGAGATATCTTTGGGGACCAAAACATATGTATCATTTCATCATCGTGCTGGGTGTCGACTTGTCTGGATGCAGCAGTCATCCGTTTCGGACCACACTAGTGCGTGAATGAGCTATTCATAATTACTTCGTGAATTTTTAGTAACCATTATCAACCAAATCAAATCAATCACTCCAGGTAGTCGCGAGGTCAAATAAGCGCCAGAAGCTTGGTATCGTCCAGAGTTTGGCGGGCATCGTCAAGATCTAACCCCGATTACGGGAGAACACCGTAATGACAAGCCATGAGACACTAACCACGTGTAGTTAGATTCATCCGGTCATTGTTTGGGGGCTATCACTGCTGTTGGATACGTCATTGGGTATCCGAGAACTTGTATAAAAGTGCCACAAAGCACGAATGCAGAGAGTACGGAGTACGAGGCTCCAAATTATCAAGCATGGTCTCTGAATAGACTGTAAGACGGCCCCCGGATTTTAGCCTGGGCGCAAATCCGGTGGGTGTGGAGGAATGAGGCTTTAATCAACTCCCTTGGCTGGTTTGGGCCCCACGGGCCGCTAAACCGAAGATGACCACAATTGCGAGGGCTAATCAGAACTTGCATATTTCTATATTCTTATATATAGAGCAACCGGGGGCTGGTGACGATCAATCGGTAAGCGTATAAATGACTGAGAACAAGCCGACGGCATCTACAGAATTTCAAAAACAAGAGCACCTAAAAAAACCTCGTCCATCATGGGCTCAGTCACCTACCACAATGGCATATCTATCCTGGAATTGATCGCCTACCTTCCATCTTTCTTTGTGGCCAATTCCCTAGTCTACCGCCATGGTGTACGACGGAGTGGTGGTTTTGTCTTCCTCGTTATATTCACGATCGTTCGTATTGTTGGCGCGTGCTGCGAGTTAGCGACCATCAACAGCCCCTCGACTGGTCTCTATACAACAGCTGCAATTTGCAGTTCTATAGGATTGTCCCCACTCCTGATGGCATGCTCAGGTCTACTTTCAAGGGCGTAAGTATGCTCTGCCTATATCCTTAGAAGCCTTTTCTCACAGGCAACAGAAATGAATCTATGTCTCGTCCTCTTATTCACATGTTTGCTTTTACCTTCTTCCGAGCTGTCACCATTGGGGCTTTGCTCTTTACTGTCTCCGGACTAACATGGAATATGACACTGGACGTGCTGAAGCATCCGAATGTAGTGGTCAAGGTCGGCATGATTTTATACCTTGTCAGCTGGTTTATCATGTGCATGTTCCTTGGTATTCTTTTCCTATACCACTCTTCAATTAAAAATGGCGAGAACCTTACTTTGGTAGCTGTGGCCATTTCGGCTCCGTTTATACTTGTGCGCATCATTTACGCTATACTGCTGTTCTTTCTTGCCAACTCCACCTTTAACATGACCGACGGTAGCAATACCGTTCAGCTGGTCATGTCTGTGTTTGATGAGCTCATTGTTGTTTTTGTTTGCTTGGCTGTCGGCTTTACTTTGAGGGTTCGGGAAAAGCACTGGGAGCCTGTTCCAGGTCTTGAGGTTGCATGATTGTACGTGTTATGTTGTTGAGTTTAGATCTTTTTTTTTTCCTTTAGATTCTTGCTTGATTATATTGTAGTATGTCGGCTTCACAATAAGAGCATCATGAGAAATGAAAATTCCTGATGGTCCTTAATGGTGCATGCGTAGCTTTTTGTCTTAAAAAGATTCCCTACGAAGTGGGTGTCGGTTATTCCAATGTGTTAGATTTCTACACTGCCCTGTCGCTGAGACTTGCTGCGCTGCCAGCCTCCCCTGGACCAAGTTCCCATTTCTTTCCGCATCTGATGCATGTATAATTGCAATGGGTTAGGCCATGACAACCAAAAAGGAAAAGAAAAAAGGAAAAGAAAAGAAATAAAGAAAAATGGCCAAGTGGATTCAAAGTTTAGTATCCACTGCTAGGCCCATTCGAGTACGAGATGCGATTCCGTTCCGGACGTCTCTGATCTGCACGCTGCGGCCACTTTTGAGGTGGGGTTGGAGGGAGTAGATTACAGAAGTACGACACTGAAAATAGAAACCGATTATCATCAGCGCAGGTTTAAATTGGCATGATTCCGACGTCTCTGAACACTCCATCCCCACACCCGTTCTACACTAAAGCCATGGGAAAGCTCGTTGTGAAACTCATAGAGTCAGGCATTGGCTTCACTTCTGAAGCCATTCATGCCGCCCGTAACCGCTCGTCAAACAGAAACCCAACCTCCAATTCTTCCACTCGGGATTCTTGTACCGAGCAGAGCGACCAGTTCGTCATTGACGACGAAGAAATCGCCAAAGAACTTATGCAAGAAGGACGCGCCCGAATTCCGGTCTCCAATGGAATCTATATTGATTCGCATTATGCAGAGCTACCGGCAGTCAACGGACCATCTATCCACCAACAATATGCAGAGCTACCAGCAGTAATCGAGCCATCTATCCATCAACAATATGCGGAGCTACCACCAGCCAACGAGCTATCCTACCGCTTGGACGAGTGCCAGCAGAACAAGTTTATTGGAGTGGATAATTTCGTCGACGGAAAGGCAACACCTACCGCCGCTGAGACAAGGCATGACTTGGACGGGTATAATGACTCGATCTACTCAGATGACATGCAGCATGAGTTTGAGCGAGCTGAGGCAGTCTGGACACAAACTGAGAACTTGCAGCATGTGAGATTGCCGACTTATGAAGAGTCAGAATGGGCTCCTGTCGCTTTGGCTAGAGCTGGGACTGGGGAGACAACGGAAGTGCAGGAACAATATATCGATCACCCTCCAATTCAAATTGAGCAGCCAGTTGATCCCTCGCAAGGGCTTACCTGTCCTGTGGTCATTTCCCACTGCAGGCCCAGCACGAAGACCCCCACGTTTGAGCGTGCTTATGCACCCATTTTAGCCAATTCTGGGATCCGCCAGGATGTATTCTTGAGGTTTCTGGGGGACTTTGATCAAGCAAATATGGTAGGCTACCACTCACTTCTACGCTTGACTTAAGGTTGTTTATTTCTGACGGGAGATTTAGGATTCCCAGTGGCTCAACGTCGTCAGCGTCGCAGCGGATATATCGCACAGGGTCCCTGAGATAGCATCTTTTGTAACAGGCCTTTTACTTGAAGTTGCAGCAGGAGCAGCTCGTGAGATGCAGACCTCTTGCCCTGCGAACGACTTTCTTGACTGGGCAAACCACGAGGTATTCATTCCCAACGGCCTTTATGCTGTGGTCTTGCAATTCAAAGACGAAGTCCCCGGTGAACAACAGGGGGTCCTTGCTATGCTATCTCAAAAGCTTGGCAAAACGCTTTTCACAACCGAGAAGATTGATATCAATCGGCCTGTCTCCGCAACAGTATTTCGCCCCTCTCCAACCACCACAAAGGTTGAGTTACCGCAAATTGCGCACTTGGTTTACCCTGACTTGTATTCCGGGCCAACACAAACCGCAAGTGGCAGGAGGGCCAAATCCGAAAGCATGCAGGGGAAGTTGAAGAGCGTAGGAGCCAGGTTGCAGGATAATATGGAGAAAAAGGCTCAGTCCTCAAACGTGAGTACCCTGTTATTCCACGCACACTCTTACTTTCAGCATAGCTCATGTCGACTAGGAACTCAAAGATTCCGCATGTTGCCTAGCTGTCCGTGGGTCAAGTGACAGGAGACTTGTCTCGCGCTATAACGATACAAATCATGGAGTAAACAACCGCAAGCTTCTCTCAACACTAAGCGGAGGTCGGCTTGGCAACAAACCGGGCCTAATCGAGCGGGCAGCGACTTCTATCAAGGAATTCCATGACCTCAAGCGGATCGCTCGATTAGAACTTACACATGATCCAATCAGAGAGAAGTTGCGGAGGTCTCAGGAGAAGAGAACCAAGATGCCCAGTAAAGCTCTACAGCCGAATGTGCCATATTTGATAATTGTTAACCGGCTTAGCGAGGAGGAGCTACAGCATTCGGTTTCTCTATTGGATGCAATCTTCTAAACGGGACAGCGTGCATTAGCTGAACCTGGTGCTTGTTGTCGACAGGAATCAATTAAACAAAAGGATTATTTAAAATTAGTCAATAACTGTGTGAACAGACCATTGAACAGTGTTGATAATTTCTTTCATATCCGAGCTTGCACAGCCAGGGACACCATAGCAAATCCCATAGATTCTACGCTTTTCTTTTTCCTTTTCCACACTCAAGTATTACTATATACCTCTTTATCAATAACCTATTATAGGACTCATCAATGCTGATCACTGCTGTTCATCAAAGAGATTACGTAGTGACAATACATCTAGTTTTATTGATAATCAATGACCGAATAGGAAATTGAAATAGTACTGAAGGCACGTTCTACCAAAAAAATTTTCAAATAGAAGATAAATAGAAAAACCCGGAATCTCCCAAATCCAAGCCGATGGGTCACGATGGCCATGTTCTCCTTAGGTTAGCGTAGACTGTTCATTTGGGCCCCTGTCTCGATTCTATAATTACTTACTGTAAATAATTCTAAAATAAGCATCTACGAGTAAGCGTGAGGCTTATTGGGTCTCGCAATTCAAGCTGTAAATAGCCTAGCCGGATCGACGTGGGGGCCAAACCCGCTACAGTGCTGAGCCCCATAGTTGGGACCAGGGCGACATCAATTCAGGTACCTGGCCTCAGCTATACCTTTGAGGATTGGAGTATGCGGCTAACTGGGAAAGCTTTGAAAATACTGTAAATTAAAAACACCCTTTGAGGTATAAATGCCGACTGTTCGCTGTGTTATTCTTACCCTCCACATCCATTAAACCTTTCTTCATTTTAATTACTCTTTATTACCATGAGGCCTTTTTCGACGGCTCTGCGTCGACCTTTGCTGCTATAGCATTGTCTGCGTGTTCTGTTATGATCGATGCTGGCACCTTCGATGGCGGGCAATGCACAGGGGGCCGAAATGCAGTCCTCTACAAGGCAATCCCTTATGCCGAGCCTCCCTCCGGTTGGAGAACTACGTTTCGAAGCCCCGAAGCCGTACGAGAAAAAGTTCTCTCAGGGGAAAATTGATGCAACAGTGTCCGTCCCGACCTGCATTCAGTTCTCAGATGACTTTACATATCCAGTCTCCATGTTAAATTGGGTTGATGAATATGTATACTTACACACACTGATCGACCTGTCGATTCACGATTTTGCATCCTTATTCCTGATAGCCTAAAAATCCCAGTCAAGCTGATGACATCGTTTCCCAAAGAAGATTGGCTCGGACATTAAGAGTAAGGATGTATACTACGAGTATAATTGGTGTCTCACGATTCAAGCAATGTGTCGGGTTAATGCTTTTATCAATGGAATCTTGATTTGTCTAAATATGTAGTGAGAAACGACCTGCGAAGATCACCACGTCGAACGGGTCTTCGTCCACGCCTGGAAGAACTCCATCTTCTCTTTCACTCCCAAGCCTACTCGCTTGACCCGGCCCAGTCGGGCAAGAGACTCCCCCACATTATCCAGCAAGGTCTTATCGCTGAGTGAGGCCTCGCCATCTTGGCTGTCTTGGCCCAACGTATCAAGGTAATTCGTGTTATATGTCGACTTCCGTGTCGAAGGACCCGGTGTCTCAATTACGTTGCCGCCCGTGATACACTCGGCGATTCGAACGCGGAGGCAGTGGGTGGGCTTGCTAAGCAGCGTCCATATGAAGCTCACATAGCTCCCTGGGATGGGAGTCACAACATCCGGAGAGGTATATCTGATGCTGACAGGGAAGATCTTAGTCTTGGATGGAACGCCCAGGAGCGACTTGCTCAGAGGTAGAATGCCTCGGCCGTTAGTGGTGGTACATTCTGGGAATAGAACAATCGGGCGACTGGGGTATCTCTCGACCAGAGTCGAAAGGTCCACCAGGCGCGAACCGGGCGACGGTTGTGTAGATGGGGCCTTGAATGCTCGCAAGACAGCCTGAAGCAGGGAAATACGCTCGACTTGGCGGGTGTTGGGGTAGGAGGTTGTGAAGACCGGGTCGAATATTGCTGCCAGATAGATCGCGTCGATGGGTGACGTGAAGGATGAAGCGATAACCGAGCCGGGCTGCGGCAGACGGGCTTGCTGTTGCTTCAAGGATCTAAAGGAGAACCATTAGCTACCGGCGCATTGCAAACGAGTTACATTGCAAGCACACGAACCCTTTCCGCACTCCGTCCACTTGCAGGTCAATCCACCAGATGCTCGGAACGCCAAGAATACACCACAAGGCAGCTTTCTTGCCCAGCGATCCGATGGGAAGCCATTGTAGAATTAAAAAGTAGCTGAGAGTGACAAAAATGAATAGCGGGAGGCGAAAGCAAAAGAGGAAGACGCGGAGGGGAGCTTGGAGGCCGAGTGGCTCCGAGGGGATAGGCAGAAAGGGCGCGATGCCCGATCCTGGACATTGTAAGTATGAATCCGTTGAAGAGAGCAGGTAGTGACGTGGAGGGATGATTACCTCTATCTCGAAATTGTGAGTATTTCTCCATTAGTGATGAGATGAGGAGCGGGATTTTAGCTCAATCATCAACACGGCGCTCAGCCAAGCGAGAGAGCGTTCACGCGACTTCCGAGGTTGCGACTTGGAGTGAGGTTCGCAAATGCTGACATTCGCAGGGCAAACATTCACAGCTGAAGATGATCTTCACATGCGATAGCCACCACGTGACTTCTTGGCTGCCTGAGGCACATGTATGTGTTTCTTGTGGATCAACGTAGAATCTCTTTGTCTATAGATAATATACAGTCTATAGAGGATTACCATCCCCTTCATAATTGTTATCCACAAATTCTGGGGTAGGAGGAGCAGGGGGTAGCCTAAAACACCAGATAGCCACTCCGACAAGGCAGAACAAGGTACTGGTCATCATCCATGCCAGTCCAATCCAGAACCCACCAAGACGCAGACCAACCTGAAAGACGGTAGTGATGGACAGGCTTGCAATCACGTTTCCGAGAGACTGGATGATCTCAACCGCAGTGAATAGGCGAGCTGTCTCATCTCTTTCAACCAGGGTTGTAATAATTGACCTAGTAATGAACACAAATCCGGATCCCGATGCCTGCACGACCATGCTTGGGATCAAGGTGGCGATAGATGGGGAAAGGCCTATTCCCAGGGTCCCCAATGTCAAGCAGAATATACTTCCACGAGCGAGCCAGAGGTCTTTCTCGGTTGATGAGCGCCGGGGGTTCAGGACCCGACTTTTGAGGTATGGCAAGCCAAAGAGGAATAGTGGGATTGACACAATTGGTCGACAGGCCACCAAAAAGTTGGCTTGGGCTAAGGTCCAAGCATAACGGGTCGAGATGTATTGGGCCAGGAACCAGGACGAACCTCGGCTTAGGCGATATACTAGGAATGCTGTGAGGAGTAGCAGCACTGGTTTTCGGTTGAGAATAAAGATATATGGCTTCAGATAGAAGCGGTAGTTGGCACGGAACTTGGCGAGCAAGGACTGATGGGAATAAGATGGAATACTCCAAGATGGAGGTTCATTTGCACGGTCACCATTGACGTCCGCTTCGTCGTGGTATGATTCCGACTGGTTAGCTTGGTGTATATAAGGCTTCGGCTCAGTTTCATCCGTCAAATCAGAAAGCTCAACAGGGGCCATGCGGGCGGGTTTGTCTGGCACAGCATGCTTTGTTTCTGGCAGTAGAAGAATGAGCGTCACGCCGCCCATCACAATTGTGAATCCAATCACCAACGGGATCCAGGGGTTTAGGGTCATCAGATAGGAACTGAATGAACTAGAAGCAAAGTCCGCGCCCATTGAGACAATGGCAAATTGAAAAAATATACCCGCTCTAGTAAGCTCGATTAGCCTCTATAAAACCATGACCAATTGGGGCATTTGCCATACCGTTCTGATTCGTTAGTGACATCAGCCATCATAGTCCATATGATAGCAAATGCCGCGACAGGGCCCCCTCCGATAAGCCATGTCAAGGCAGTAAACCAGAGGGCCCGGAGAGGGAATATGTTCGAGAACCATAGGACAGTGAGCGTAAGGACCGTGTTCAACGCAAACCCGGGAAGAGATAATGCGAGCGTGGCTTTGCGGCCACGACGGTCTGCCAGCAGACCATACGGAATTGCTAATAAAGCACCTGCAAAGCAATCAGACCTCATTTCCATAGAGGTGTATACTGTTCAACCTACACAAAGTCCCATCAAAGAACATGTGGTACCCTTTCACCGCAGCCAATTCTGCTTGTACCTCTCCAATCTTGCACATAGCCTCTGGCACCTGTCCATCTGCACCGATCTTAGTCGGATCAGCCACCAAAAAGTACTGCCGGCAGGTAATGGCTTCCATGATCCGGGTCATGGGGCCCTCCAAGAAGGCAAAGCCGATTTCCACAGCGAGGATCATGGAGAACAGGATGAGTTTGAAGCGGAATGTGATGGCGCCAGCGGAAGCATTAGCCTCGACAGGCCGGCTGCCGATGCTGGGCTTGGAATGAACATGACGATGTGCTGCGGAGGAGCTCGGGTCGGAGGAGCCGAGGAATGGAGCGTCTTCACGATCTTGATCCTCGTCCAGAGGATGACGTACGTGGGCCATGTGGCATGGATATATAAAAGGAGTGGTATCCAGGAGAATAAAGATTAGGCCATGGAAAAGGAGGATGTGTTACGGTGTTACGTGGTCTACTTGACGTCGCAAGCGGGAGTCTTGGCACTCTTCACGTTGTCCAGGGGCAGTTCGTTAGTGGCTCCGCTGACCATTTCTGCTTACCTCCTTACCTGCGGCTGTAAGATATTCACATATTGTAGAATTATTTGATTTGCTCGATTTACATATCCGTACATTTCTCTCGAATTTATGCATACCCTGCCTCTTCAAATAGACTACCCCGAACTTGTACTACTGCCGACAACTCGAGCATGAACTCATATAAAATCACCACATTGGTCAATACATGGCCAAGAGAGGCGAACGGTGGATCTCCAGAGTGGTTTGCTGAGTGGTCTGCTGAATCAGGGGCCTCCTCGGATGGCGAATCGGGGACTGTACCAGAAGCAGGTGGGAATGGTGTAGCAAGTCGGTGGCGGAGAGCTTCACCGGCAGCAGCCCGGACTCTGGAAGAGCGCCGTGAGCCTGTCGGAGGAACAGATTCATGGCTTTCAGGGCTAGTTATCATTTTCGGATTCACTGCGTGCGGAGACCGACCGCGGGACATTGGGGCGGAAGGATCTGGAGAGCCGGAATATGAGGGACGCGAGCGGTCCGCGGAATGGGGCATTGGAAGCTCCGATGGGTCCAGCGACTCTTGTGGCGTGCAAGGGCGATCCTCTCGGTGCAAAAGCTCTCGTCGGGCGGCGACCAGGACATCGAAATCAGGCAGTTCCTGCTGCCACTGCCAAACTTGTTCCACCAGTTTTTGTAACGCTGATGTGAGGGTTGGGGCAGCTGTGGCAGGCCATGTTGGCCCTTCATATGCCTGTCGGACGGTGTCAAGCCCGTCGGTAGTCGCGAGAGAGACTGGAGTATCATACTGGTTGGGATCAACCAACACCCAACCGTCCAGGGAGAAAAGATGTGATGAGGCAAGGCTCATAAATACGCCTGTGAGCGCCAAGTTGACGATTACACTGTTGGTGAAGAAGGTACCAAGGCACCCAAATAGTGCCTGCACGATCGGATCGTCTTGCTGTAGCTGGAGCGGCATGTGAAGTGTCTCGTCGTCCTTTTCCGTTGCAGAAACCGGTAAACACAGACGAGACTCAAGCACCCATGTAGCATCCGCGACGTAGTTCTCGTACGACTCGTTTAGTGTGGGGTCATTGACAAGAGACGTCCCCATGGAAAAAAGATGCCCCAGCTCGGAATTCAATGCTCCAACAGGGCGTTGCTGCGCGGGCAGGGTAGGGAGAGTATGGATGAGGGACCGCGTGAACGGGTGGTGTCTTTGAAGGACTGTGGTCAGGAGCCGCAAAGTAGCTAGGACAGTCTGGCGATTAGATGACTGAAGCCCTAGTAGTGCCAGGTCGCGCAAGTTGAACAATGATGGGGATGGCGGGGCGGCTTCTTCGGCCAGCGCAGCCAGCACATTGAGCGATTTCCGTCGGCTCGCTGACATGTCCATTTGCTCTTCTGGCTTAGGTGACGATGCCAGTAAAAAGTGGAGGATTCGATGGACTAATTCGCCTTGCTCAATCGAATCAAGGATGCGGCACATGTAGGTCAAAACCGCTGCTGTCGAGCCACCGGCCACATCGGAGGATTCTAATAATGAGGGATATCTGCGAGAGTCAACGACTGGTGCATCAAAGAGGAACAGGGAATCGTTACAAGAGTTGCTCGAGAAAAAGCACCTGAAAATGGTCGAGTAAGGTGTCGTTCACTTCAGTAGATTTACAATGGTCAATGGTGTCCTGCCAGAACAACAAGTATGACATGAACGCATCCATCGCCTGGCCTAGTGTTGGTTGCAGAGCTGTCTCCTGTTTCGCGTGGTCGGATAAAACAACAATGTGAGGCACGTTCTCGTCGGTCTCAGTATATGTCAAACTTCAGTCGATCAGTAACTTGTCCCAAATCATTGCAAGAGTCAACCTTACTGTCCCAACTGACTGTAAAGTGCACCGAGGCCAGTAGCCATGAGGGTGGCCAGGTCGCTCTCAATCAACCATTTCTCCAGGTTTTTAGACCGCGATGCGGTCTCAATAATGTAGAGCAACCCGGTACGAGCAAAATCACCAGCTCGTCCCTCGTGGTGAACATAGTCCACCAAGAGATAGAACAGCGGGAACTCATCTTTCCTTGTAGCTCCTGCGAATTCCGTCCCGATGGGGCTTGGGGACTCGCCATCCTGGACTGGGGACACCCGAGGCACAAACCACGCGGGAAGAATCACAGGCTGCAGACGGATATTGTTGGCAATACCGAAGAGCAACTCCACGAGCCTTCCTTCAATTTCATCTGAGGACTTCTCGGCCCGACGAACCAGATCCACCAGTGCGCGGGCGAACAGCCGGTTGTCCACCACCCCGTCCACCTCCGCGTCAATCAGGGTATTGAAGAATATTGTGGCCGACCGGAGGATACCATCATCGTAGAATGAGAGGGCAAGTTTGGTGACTGTGACAAAGACCTGAGAGGACGCTGCGTATGCCACACAGGGGTGCGGTGCGGGCCCACGCGATTCCTCACTCAGGATCGAGTTCAGTCGTTCAATGTACGTGCGCGCGTGGGTAACCGATTGCTCGCCAGAGGGAGTATTTGTAGAACGCCATATTTGCTGGTGAGGTTAATTGTGGGCTGGGGGGCGTGTCAGGCGCATCTCGTACCTGGAGAGCATTGCAGGCGCGTTTAAAGGCCGTCAGCCGTTCCGTGGGCGAGGCGGCCCTAGGGGGCTTGGACAGGGCACGCGAGCCACCGATGAGACGAGACCACTGGCAATGGATTAGCAGGGAAGTTGGAAGCTGTCAGGGACGCATACAAAGTCCATACTCGGGCATGATGAAAGGAGGAGGATGAGTGGAGCCGGTGATTACGCTGATCTCCGTAGCGGACCTAAAATGTATGGGGACATGGGGATATTGGTATAAATGTACTGTATAGGCATAAGTTATTGGGATATTCGTCTACAAGTTTTACTTTCTATAAGCTAATGTTAATAACTTAATTTTTCTCGAGAAGCCAGTGTTTTGGTGATCTTGCTCAGGTCTAGGAAGTGAACAGGTAGTATCCATAGATATATATATTGTGACTTCACGAACGCAGAGTGTTGGACAGCCCAGTTTCGTATATTTTACGAAAGGGTAGAAACAAATTGCCTGCTATTGTCTCTAGCCTACATGTAATATTGACTGTACTATCAAACTTGGCAGATCTAAGGCAAGGGGTGTCACCGATATACATATGCAGAGGTGCATGTCCTGAAAAAGGCTCTTATAGTGGGATCTTCTACATCCTGTGCGAAATTTTATGTTGGTTTTGTTTTCTGCATGGGGAATGCTTCACAGCTAAATATGAATTATACTGATCTACATCCAACACCAAGGCGAGACAGACGAGATAGAATCTCGACTTTTGAATCTTACCTCGGACATTGCAATAGATAATTACCCTTGAAGAAAGCTGCAGCCATTCATTTTGCTTCTCTACCCTTTCGTTTCATCTTGAGGCATGTTGACCTCAAATTCCACGTGTCTGTCAGGGAAACCAGCAACCCCATTCAACACAAGTACCACATGGCTAGAGGGCTTTTTTTGTATGGTAACTCTCTATTCTTCTTTCAAGTCTAACAGTCAAAAGGTCCCAATAACGTCGCTGAGCACCACTCCGAATATTGTCCCCCAACTGCTAGTGTCAGTTGATACGACTCCAGGAGTCCCGCAACATCTGTGACAAGCCTCAGGGGCAATACGAGCCAGCAATTTGCAAGGCTGGATTATATTGCCCATCTGGAGGCCAGAGTCAGATCTCCTGTCCCAAGGGCCACTTTTGTCCCCTGGTCTCTGTGGAGCCAACCCGATGTATATCTCTCTCGGACTGTCTCGAAGAAAGTGCGCGGTAGATTACAACCCTGGGTTTCCTCTGTATCTATCTCTTGGATTCCTTGCTGGTTGCCATAAACCTTTTCTCTGATGCCTCTACACGACTGTAATTGCTTATTTATCTATATTTGTAAGGTATATACGGCCTTGGATGCATCGTGGCTGCTGTTACACAACCACGCGATGGGCCTCTGATGGCTATGTTTTTGAGTACTATTGTTTCGGCAGTCTCAGGATGTGGTGGTCCTCGCCTGGCGTCTGTCAAAACCTGGAACTTGGAGTGGTTTTGGTATATCTGGACCGCGGTGAGTTCCTACCTCTCTTTCTCTCCTCCTTTGTCATACTATCAGGTTATCAATTTATGTTCACGTCTGGTGGAAATACGAACAAAACGCAGAAAGACTTAGGTTAATAGGAGGACTGAACACAGTCTATAATATCACACACACGGCCAGCTATGCTAACTATTTGTTCATAGTATTGATTCTAAGGCATGATAATAGGACAAAATCCTCGTTAAGCTGACTAGGGAGTGGCTTTCCATAAATCTCTCTTTCTGCTCTCTACACCTACTCTTCGGGTGTCTAGATAAGGTATTTTTTGTTATGTCAAGTCTTTTATATAGCCAAATAAAACCCTCTATTGTATCCAATGACATCCAGCGTTCACTGTTCCCGTAATTGGACGATGATAAAGCTATGATAATCTTCATCGGAGGCGAGGAGGCCTACAACGAAGTTGCCGCGGGCAGTGATCCTGTGTAAGGCTGATTTCCTTGCCAATGAGCCAGAGAATTGACTAGAAATGTTAAATGCAAAGATAGGAATATCCGCACAAATCCCCCATAGTAAAGGCCACTGAAGTCATCCCAGCCGCGGTGGGCCATGGCCGTTGGAATCAAAAGACCGGTGGTCAACAAGAGAGCCGTTTTAGTACTTGCGCTGCCAACTGCCCACGGGATCGCGTTCGACAGAGATATCAACTGAACCCCAACGCTCTGCAGTGAACCCAGTCGTCTATCCAACGTAGGAAAAGAAGAGTCCGCGTTAGAATTACACGGACCCTTGTCTATATCCACGTAGCGATGTTGTGCTGAGTGATGGCTTGCCCAGTAAATGAAACTATACTGAAGCCTGCCTGTACTAAGGATGCTAAGAAAGTACCGCAATGGCGTTGATGCTTCAAAGAATTTATGACTCCACAATCTATGATGGCATTGTTCTGTTGAGCAGATGCACAATTTCAGAAAGATTAGCTCTTCTGCTGCCATTCCCAAGCTCTACATTCTGAAGTCCATAACACTAAATATGGCGATTTTCGTATGTAGCGAAACATGCTGTATGACCTAGGGGAGCAGCACTGTAGAAAGAATAAGAATGATCAAAACATGAAACCAATCAATATCGTTATAGCAAAACAGGGTCTCCGAGACGAACAGAAATGGTTGTGGGTACTGCAGCTCAGCCCCCCAGAAGAAAACGATCGTATACTGATGAAGACTTCGCTTTTCCTAGGCAACTTATGGAAATACTGTTAAGTGATCTTTAAAGCGCGCTTTGCCAGGATATGATCTGATCTGTTTGGGACGTGGAATGAAATCTGAGATATCTACGTATGACACGGCATATCGAGGCGGATCCATTGAATTTACACGAACTTACACGCCACTGCAAGATGAAGTGGTACCTGCAGTGTCAATAAAGTTACAGAGTCCTCATGTCTGGAATGTCTGCAATATACCTGCAATTCACCGAGACAAGTTTCGTGCTCAAGTCCGAACTACAGTATACGGCTGAATACTCCATCTACGTGTCACGACACACCCAACACATCCAGGTTCTCAAGAAAAGATGCGACTCAGGTGTGTAATTCACGACCTTGCGCTGGGGTTCGACTAACTCGACCCCGGAAACCCCGATTTATCCACAAGAATATGCTCCCAGATCTGCCTCCCACCGTAACGCCCATGGTAAAAAGAAAGCCAGAAATCTATACGCCGGAATCCCTCGTCTAACACGTCAAATCATTTACAGAGTAAGAAGTCAATCACTCTCCTCCTTTGGTCGCCGCCCTCCGCGCTTGCGACGTCCCTCGTTCTGGTCGCTTCCGTCATCTTCGTGTTTCCGGCCGGCTGGTTGATCCGGCACCTTGGCGATGATGTCGGCCAGGAAATCGAGTACCTCGTCCTTGGCGACGGCATGTTTCAGATGTGAGGCGGTGACGCGCTTTGAGTTGCGATCCTTGGCTTCTTGTGCGGCCTTGGTGACGAGGGAGATCATGAAGAGTTCAAGGGCCTTGGCTAAAGGGAATCAGTACTTGATTGCGACGCGTGGGCGCGTTTGAGTAATACTTACACACAGCAATTGGAGTCACCTGGGCAACCTTTCCGACGTCCTCATCCGCCTGCATGATGCGCTTAATGCGCGCCACCGGGAACTTGGTCTTGACTTCGATCCCCGCACCTAAAGGCACCGGAGCTGGAGCCGGAGCCAGCTCTTCCTCCTTCACTGGCGCAGGCGCCATAGGCTCTGGAACGTACTCGGGGACGGGTTCAGGAACGGGTTCCGTGATCTGTTCAGGCATATATTCGGGCATTGCGATATCAGGCTGGGCAAGACGCGTTGAGCGACGGGCCATGTCCTGAAGTGGTGGAACGTACTGTTGCGACACGCTCGGATTGCGGTAGGAGAAGGGAGAGGGAGGAGGATGAGAGGGAGAGGAGAAATCAGGAGAACGAGGCCGATAGTTGTCCTCTGTCATGATATAGAAAAATAAAAAGTGGTTGGTCCAAGCTCCAGTTTGGACGGGGCATCGCGGGCTATTTAAAGTCCGAGGGCGACGGGGTATTTTCACTGTATTATACGTGTATTTGCAGTGTATTGTCGTATTGGTATGGTGGTATTTGCAATGGATTTTATCGCGACTTCACTTCACTCATACTCTTCTCTTCTCTTCCCTCTTCTTTCCTTCTCTCTTCTTCTCTCTATATTCACTTTCGCTTCACTTGTATTACTGTATGTCTCCCCTTCCTGTAGCTCGTGTAGCTCCCGATGAAGATACCTTAGCTGGAAAGGGACAGATGAGACCACGCGATGGTATCGCTGTGCCTTGATGAACCCCAATAACTTGATCTAATCTGAGGGAATTCGTGTGCCATCATTTTTGGCTTGGGGCTTTTCTCTGATATTGTCGGCAGAACGATTTCTTCGTGCGACCTTCGCATTTTTGAGATGCCCTCTGTGCTCTGAGGTTCTCTCTAACATCTCCAGCCATGGCGGCTGATGCGCCCGGCTTGATGGACATTGCCAGGTACGTGGACCGGAATGCCGATCTCGAATTCCGCACTCATGATTCTGCAGCACCCTGGCTCAGGACGATATTCCGTTCAAGTTGCGCTGTGCGATCTGCAACAAGCTTGCTGTAAATGCTTTTCGCCTGCCATGCTGCGACCAGTCAATCTGTGAACCTTGTATGTGCCCTCCAATTGTCGTTTTGACAATCACTGACCTTTGCTCCAGGCCAAGCTTCTCTCTCCGATACCTGTCCCGTCTGCGCGCATACCCCAGTCTCCCCGGATGTTTGCAAACCAAACAAAGCTCTGCGCACAACTCTGAAGGCTTTTCTACGGACGGAGGAGAAGAAACGCGAGAAGGATCGCCAGGCCTCGGCAACATCAACTCCAGCCACCCCTGCGGATACCGTATCCGCACAGAAAGCAGGTCCAGGTCAAAATGGGGAAGATACCGCAGGAGTCGCGGGTGTTGAGGCGCCTGTTACTACAGAACCTCAATCCGAGAACGCCGGAGTAGAGGCTCCCACAGACCCAGTTAGAGAGAGTCCTCCGGACCCATTTTCTACAGATGCTGTTGAACAGTCGGCTCCGGTAAGACCCATCCACCGTAATCCGGTGTTTGATTTACTAACCTGCTAGGCAGCCCGAGGTAGCCGCTGAACAGATAGCTGATGTTACCGACCAGGCCGTTGAATGCAACGATGATGCTGTCAATGAAGAGCTAGCTCCCCAGGATGCTCCCAAGTCCAACTCCGCTGCGATGACCCCGAATATGGGAGGCTTCCCAATGGGCTGGAATGGAAATGGCATGAATCCTTACATGGCTGGCATGTTCAATTTCCCCAACACGATGGGTGAGTCACGTTTCGGGCGATCTCGCTTTCTGATCACTCTTGCTAATACATCTAGGAATGCCCATGGGGATGGACCTAATGGCAAATCAGGGGATGTTCGGTGACTACGGAATGAACATGACTGGCATGGGCATGAACACGGGGAACTTCAACGGGGGCATGTATGGATCCTTAGGATGGGACGCCCAGAACAACATGTGGCAAGGCCAAGATAAATTCAATCCAAACGCTTTCGCTAGTGGCACGGGCCCTCCCTACGGAGGATCATATGGCTCTAATCTCTATCCGGATCAGTCTGGCTTCTATGGATCAGGTTATGGCCGCGGTGCATTCCGAGGCCGTGGCCGTGGCTATGGTCGTGGCTTTGGGCCTATGCAAGGACATTATGCCGCTAATTCAGGATATGCACAAGGCCCAATGGATGTACAGGGTAACCAAAACCAAAATCCGAGTACTGAAAATGCAGAAGGACAAGTTGAGGGATCCAACCTCCAGGTTCCCATCGACCAAGTGCCAAATGGAGGCATGGGAAGCACAGGATATCGGCATGGACGACCTGAAGGACCAGGTGTGGAGGGTGCACCAGCCGCGCCGCGTGCCATGCGGCAGGGGCTACCCAATACGAGCGTGTTGCGGTTCTCTGGCCGTGCTTCGTAAGTTCTCATGACTCTGTTCGTTCTGATTTTCTAACTGTTCTAGTGAGGATACGCGCCAGACCCCTCTGAATGCCTCCCGTGAAACACGGTCTCACTCTCCGGGGGGTCGAACTTCTCGTGCCCGCTCGCCATCTATGCATGGTACTGAAGATGGCCGAGAAACTCAACGGGAGACAGGGGTGAGACGTATGGACCGGGTTGACGAACTACAGTCCGATGTCCGACGCACTCGCTCTCCTTCCCGGGCGTCTTCGCGTCGGTCCTCACGCCACCGTCAGCATGACAGTGATCGTGAGAAAGACCGAAATGGTAGCCATCGTTCTCACCGCTCACGCCGGCACCGTGGCCGTGATAGTTGCAGTCGCAGCTCAAGCCGCAATGGAGATGTCCGTCTATCACGTCGTTTGCATCGGACCGCAGGTCAGGCAGAAACAAGCGGCCGCACAAAGGCATCATCTGAAGATCCAGAGCAACGTGACCTTGCTAGCCGAATTAACAGCAGCTACCGCCCTGGCAATGACAGAGGCAGCCGACGTGAAGACGACCGCACGCGGGGCGATCGAGACACTCGCCGACGAGATCGTGACCGTGACCGCGAAAGAGACCGCCGTCCTCGAGAGCGAGATACTCAGCGTGACAGTCGCAGAGACGGTGCTCGCGATAAGGATCGACCTTCAGAGCGTGAACGCGACCGAGACCATCCCAGAGACCGCGACCGTGACCGCAAGCGCTCTCGCCGTGAGCGATCTCCCTCCACGAATGGAATCGACCACAAAACCCGACATGTGAAGCGTCGAGCCGATGAAGACCGTAACCGAAGCCACCCAAATGGATCAGTCCAGAAAGCCGAGCCGGAGAAAGACCCTTACACGCTAGAGCGTGAAAAGAGAAACAAAGAGCGTCTCGAGCGCGAGCAACAGCACCGCAATCAGGCCAAGTCTGGTCGTCGCCGAGACAGCCGGCAAGATCGTCAGGATCGTGTGGTGGCGGGCCGCCGCATCAATTACAAATACGAAGATGAGCTCTAAGCTTTCATCTCTGGATCTGTCTCTCGTCTCTTGCGACTTGCATACACAAAAGTTCACTCGGGCTTGGGAATGGCGTCGGGACTGGTTGCTTTCTAATTTTCTTGCATCTCGTGGCATTTTCCTTGAGAACCAGCTTGCTCTGAAGTAGATATGGTGACAGTTGTAGGCTATTTCGATTAGAAAAACTACCTTGATGGATAAGAACACAACGAAAATCCAATTAGTGAACTTTGCTACAATTTTTCAACTTCTTGCGTTTTCTTGGAGAAATAATCTGTCGCTCCACATGCACGATACATAAAACAGACGACCCCTTGGCCACACCAATGCATTGAAACCAAATCAATACTATTCATACATCCATAGATATGCGCAATAAATATCACCGACTGCAATGTACACCAATAACTCCTAGAGGCTGTATGTACTGAGGTAGGGCTGAATATCTCATATTTGTGGCTATTGGACTAACATCATAACCAAATTTTGTTTGCAATGGGCCAATGTATTGACAATTCCGCTAAAAAAAAAGAAACAAAAAATCTTATCCACACTGCACCTCATGTACGTCAAACACCGAATGATTCCAACCCGAAGCACAAGTCAGGAAGAAAGAAAAATATGTGGTCAAAGTTAGTTCATCTTACTCTTCAAGGCCTCGATCTCGGCAGTCAGCGTTTGCATTTGCAAGGCCTGGGATGCAATGGTCTTGGTCTGTTCAGCGATGAGGTTTTTGATCTCTTCGATATCGTTCTTAGGAACGGCAGCTGGGGGAGTGGAGATTTCGGGAGCTGGGGAAGATGGGGTAGAGATCTGAGACAGTTAGGATGTGGCGCGGTAAGGGGTTGATGCAGGGAATGAGGTAACGTACAGTAGTGGCGGGTTGATACTTGGTCTCAACCTCCTTAGGTCTCAACGGGCTGCTAACCCGTGGTGAAGAAGTTTCAGCCACGGGAGAACGTGTGGCGCGCTCAACTGGCTTAGGAATCTCCTCGAAACTGGAGTTATCATCATCTGAGACGTTGCCTTCTTCCTCACCGTCGGCGAACTTGTTTACCATGGCAGCCATTGAAGCTCCCTGCTCCTTCATAGAGGGAGCTGGGCGTCCAATATGGACAGGCTCTGGGACAGGCTCGGGAGCCGCCTTGGGGGCAGCTGGCTCGGGGGTCTTCTTGGGCTCCTCGACGGGTTTGGGGGGTTCGGCGGCCTTGGGGGTGGGGGTATCAATAGCGCCAGTGGGCTTATCCTCCACGCCAGATACCTCCTTGAGACCCTCACCATCGAAGAGACTGGCCATAGAGATCTTGGGAGGGATTGCCTCCTTGCCACTGAGCCACTCGGACGACGACATAGCTGGGGCCAGGCCAGTGGTAGGGGGGTAAATATCGTCCTGGAAGTTCTCAGACCGACGGGGAACGATGAAGGAAACCGGCTCAATGTAAGAGTCGTTCACGGTCTTATAAGCGCGAGCCACTTCATTCTCGTGCATGTTCACACCACGCTTTGGCATGAAGGCAACACCTCGTTGCGGGTCGCCAGACTTGTGCTCAGAAAGGAACTCGAACTTGTCGTTCTCGAGCTCGAAGTAACGGATGTTGCCGTCACCTCGTCCCGCCAGATACAAGCAGTTGGTGCCGTCATCCCAGAAGGGCATGCATACACCGGAGATAGAATCCAAGGTCTTGAACCCATTGATAGGTTCACGCACGGCACGGATATCCCAGAGGGCCAGCTGACGGTCACTCATCTTAGAGAAACCGGTGGTCGCAATGCGGTCGCGTTCTCCCAACCACACAGCGCGGCTGTTCTTGGCACCAGTGTGGCCATTGGTTTCGTGGGCCGGACGCTCCTGGCGCACATCCCAAATGCGGAGCTTCTTGTCGCGAGAAGTGGTGACCAACAAGGACCCGTTGGCACTCCATGACTGGGATTGCACGATGTCGCCGATGTTCAGGGTGAGCTTGGGCGCGCCGGCCTCGATATCCCAAATTTTCACCGTGTAGTCGCCCGAGGCCGTTGCGAGCACGTTCTCTGCCGCGGGGTTAAAGAGCACGTGGCCGATCTTCCTGCAGGGAGGGGTCAATACGATGTCATGGTGGGATGTGCCACCGAGGATTCTCACTTAGGGTGACCGCTCAGTTTGCCAATAGGCGCGAGGTCCTTGATGTCATCGGCATCGGCATCGGGGCGGACAGTGAAGTTCTCTGGAACCCGCCAGAGGAAAACCTAGACTTGGTCAGTCGCAACGCGGATACCCGTGGCTTGTGACACTGTACCTTTCCATCATCAGAGCCTGAGGCAATCAGATCGTCATTGAAGGGGTTCCTGCAGAGCTTCAATGAGTCGTGGACATGAATGCTTGCGATTCCCACTCCTTACCAGTCGGTGTCCAATACGACCGCAGTATGACCTCGGCACAAAGGAATGCGCTCCGGGAGCTTGCCGCGTTCCTCCAGAGGAATAATCGCAAAGGCTCCACCACCACCTGCTTCCCAGTTCACGGCGATATGCTTCGGGTTGACCTAAATGCGCTGAGCGTTAGAAGACCGCAGTCGTGAGGCGCAAGGGGTGGCGCGGAAGGCAAAACACACCTTGAGAAGGTTGGTATCCCAGGCGTTTCGCGAGACTCGAAGGTTATCATAACATTGGTCCTACAGTGAGGGTCAGAATAGGAGGACAGGGTTGGAGGTAATCGAGTCTACCTTTCTCGTCGAACGCCCGAAGACGTGGCCTGTAAATGTTAGCGAGGTGGCGCAGTTTGAGGAGGGATAGCACTTGCGATATTTGGAGGAACGAACAAAACGTCCGGACATGGTTAAGAGCTCAATAGATGAGAGGTATAGAGAGAAAAGGAGGTGAAAGGGACGTTGAGAACCAAGCTCGGGATGGGGCCGGAATCCGAGTGGAGGCAACACACACCCCACGAATGACAACTTTAAGAGGCAGAGAGTCCACCCCTAAACAACGAAACAAAGAGCGAATGCCACGAATTCCTTGAATTCCACCTGTGGAGGAATTCGCCAATTGCGCGCTTTTATCCATATTGCGTCACGTGCCTCGTTGTATTACCAATACGGCTATGCTCAACCGGGACTAGCGCATTACCCGCTGAGTCAGCGTTTGTTTACCTCCGAGCTGCATCTCGTCCCTCCAGAAACCAGTTTGCGCTCATTCGATAATCTACTTTACTCCTCAGCTTAGACCATCTTTTGGCATGCCACTGCCCGTTGATTCATCTACCAACCAGTTTTAGTCATAATAGACAGTGGCTGGACGTGAGCTGATCCTTCTCGTCCGGATACTCTACTCGCCGGTAACCTGGCGGTCAAACCCAAACATGGACGGTGAAAACATGGTAAACACCCCCACTTCGTTTGATCCCAAGATGTTGCATGGATATGCTAAATCGTGCGCAGACTCAGACCAGGGCGTCTACTCGGACGCGCATCCCGCAGGGACTCCGGGAGGCCAGCTCCGCAACTACGAACTCGCGCTCCGGCATCATGCCACCAGGATCGATCGCGAGCAAGGCGATGAGCATGTCGCGTATGGAAGACATGGAGCCCATGTTACGACAAGAGCTGACAACCCCTGAAGCAACTCGTCCCAAGACAGCGAACCCAGAAACGAAGAGACCAGGCTCCGTCACCCGACAGCCCACCACCAAGGCGCATACCCGGGGCAATTCGTACGCATCATCAACCACGTCCCGATCCACCACACCTGCGTCGCGCGCCGCGAATGGTCCCTTCTCATCCACAGTCGGCCCCGGCTCCCGCCCCCCCTCTGCCATGTCCCGACCCCAAGCATCCTTCAACGGGCGCAGACCTGTCGGCGCATCGATTCCGCGCGCAGCGAGCGCATTGGATACCCATATGGAAGACACATCCCCAAGTGTACTGGGAAAACGAAAGGGTACGCGAATTTTTTCTTTCTCTCCCAGTCGAATCCCCCTTTACTCCCTTGGACCCGTCACCCCCAGATTGGAAGAGACTTGTGATGAGTTTGGGCAATCGCCCGAACCTTCTTGTCTCGAGGAGACTGTCTTTTCTCCGAACTTAACGCATGCAATGACCATCCCCGTGGTGCCCCCTACCCCGTCTCTCAATGGACCCAGTGAGATCCCAACCCCACCTGGACCCGTGCAGGCTGTACCTCCTCCAGAATGCTTCATTGTACCTGCCACACCTTCCAGATCCCCTACCAGAACCGCATCCGCTTCTTCAATGCGCTCACCCCCCAAGCCCCCACCGCGACCTTTTTTGTCAAAGGGTTCCTCGACCAAAAGTTTTGACCATGTCACAGGCCCCGAATGGGATCAAGACTCCCGCGAACGCAATATGGAGGAATTGATGCAGACATTCATGACCCGTATGAACCAACAAGGTCAAGCAAGTTCTGGCCTCAAGGAGACTGTTGAGGTGTACAAGACAAGGAGTAAGTTGATATGGTGGACAGGGCGATTCGTCCGATGCTGATGGTTTGGTCCAGTCAATGAACTTGAAACTTCTCGCGATAGCCTCAAAGAACTTAACGTCACACAACGTGTGGAGCTGGAGTCTTTGCGAAATCAGCTACAAACGGCAGAGCACGTTCTGAAAGAGGCCAAGCGAGACCAAGAAATCGCAATGGACGACCTCGACCGACGCCAGCGCATTGAAATGGAATCAATCCAACAAGACAACAAGAAGGCGATGGAGGCGATCAGCTCTCGACATCAAGAAGAGGTCCGTGAACTAAAAAGGCAGTTCGACCGCGAAATTGAGGATGAAAAGGCCGCCCGAGTACGAGCTCTCGGCCAGCTTACTTCCCAATCTGCTCTGGATACTCAAAAGTCGCAAATCGAATTGGAGCGCAAGGATCGGGAACTCAAGACATTGAACATTGAGCTACAACAGTTGAAAGAAGACCTAGCTCGTGAACGGAAATCTGTCCAAGACCTCAAACAAAACCTGGATATCGCAAGCAGTAACAGCGTCACTCTGGAGTCGTCCATCCGGGCTCTCAAGGCACACATCGAGTTCCTTGAGGGTGGAAGAGAAGAGCAGTCTAAAGCCTTTGAACGGTCCAACCAGCAGATGATGGACGCACTTGCTGAGACAGATGCTATCAGGGAGAAGTTGCGTAGAGAGGAGACCCTGCGTCGCAAACTTCACAACCAAGTGCAGGAACTGAAAGGCAACATCCGTGTGTTCTGCCGTGTTCGTCCTTCGCTCAAGAGTGAGCCTGCTTCCCAGCTCACTCTCATGCAATACCCCGACGAAGCCGATGATGCCAAGGAGATCAATATCCTGGGACCCGAGGAAAAGACCAGCCTTGGAACGGTCAGCCGCAAGAACAATACCTTCTCCTTTGATCGCGTGTTCAATCCAACCACCCAAAACGCCGAGGTTTTCGATGAAATCAGTCAGCTTGTCCAGAGTGCTCTCGATGGATACAATGTTTGCATTTTCTGCTATGGCCAGACTGGTAGTGGTAAGACCCACACAATGTCATCGGCTGATGGCATGATTCCCCGTGCTGTTCACCAGATCTACGAGACCGCCCAGGGCCTGGAGGAGAAGGGTTGGCGGTACTCAATGGCAGGCAACTTTGTCGAAGTTTACAACGAGAACCTCAACGATCTCCTCGGTAACCCCGATGAGTTGGACAAGAAGAAGCATGAGATCCGTCACGACATGCAGCGGGGAAAGACCACCATCACTGACATTACCACCGTCGATCTCGACTCGCCCGAGATGGTAGAGTCCATCCTCAAGAACGCTGATGCCAACCGCTCAGTGGCAGCTACCAAGGCCAACGAGCGCTCATCCCGGTCGCACTCAGTCTTCATTCTCAAGCTCACCGGTGTCAACCACATCACCGGCGAACGAAGCGAGGGCACTCTCAACTTGGTTGACTTGGCAGGAAGTGAACGCCTGAGCCACAGCGGAGCCACAGGCGAGCGCTTGAAGGAGACGCAAAACATTAACCGCAGCCTCAGTTCTCTGGGCGATGTGATTTCAGCCCTTGGCCAAGGCAAAGAGGGAGGTCACATCCCATACCGAAATAGCAAGGTACGTTTCTTCGAACTTGATATTTTTGTGGCACATATTAACTCCCTATTCAGCTTACCTACTTGCTTCAGTTCTCACTAGGTGGAAACTCCAAGACACTCATGTTCGTCATGGTCAGCCCTCTCCAGGCGCACATGTCGGAGACCTTGACCAGCTTGAAATTCGCCACCAAAGTACACAACACCCACATTGGCACTGCCAAACGACAGGCGCGCGTCCGTGACGCTTGAGCATGATGATATCTTCCCCATCCCCCTTTTGCATATATTCCGTCCCCTTTTGGGTAGGGGTCTCTCACGATCCTGTCCCCTACCCTGGCGCCTTGGTTGGGATGGTCTTTCGTTTTTGGCAGCCTTTGGAGATACTCGGTCTGTCTTAGCGTGTGATTTATTGTACGCAGTGTTACATTTATTTGGCTTTTCAATGCACAGTCACTGCTTTTCAGCATATCCGTTTACATCGTAGGAGTCTCTCGGACTTTCTCCACTACGAGGCCTTTCATTATTGGGCATCACAGCGAGTGAAAATACCTGTCCGCTCCCAGCTTCACCTGATGTGCCTTCTCCTTAATAGCCGCAGTATTCAGTACACCCTGTTCACAGATAAAAGCATCTGTGCACCAAGGGGGAATCCACTCGAAGTAGATATTCTTCACTTCAACCGCACAATTGACATCGTCTCGGTGAGTAGCCTGAAGCGCATCATCAATGGTCTGGGCTGCCTTGATACCGCCGTCTATCCAACAGCCCATCACCTCCCTAGGGCCGTTATCCTCGTAGTCCTGCACATCTCCACTGCCAGGCGCATCCACCTTTTCCAGCTCACTGAGAACCAATACCGAGGCAGATGAGACTCGCTTAACAGCTAAAACGGCTGGGTAGGATCCAACTTTGTTGCAGACAGAGCCTTCCACTGAAATACGGTCGGCGCCCAGCAGGAGGAAGTCCACACCTTGGCTGGCGATGGCAACCGATGCATCAGTGTAGACCGTCAGTTTCAGGTCACGACCGGAAGAAGGAGGAAACTTGGTTTGAAATTCGGAGAGGATGGATGAAGCCATGTTGACTCCTTCGCAAAGTGGCCGGGACTCCAGAATTCGCACGTCCAAGTGAGAAATGGGAAGGGAGGCAAAGGTATTGAGGATGCTGTCGCGAATGGTAGAGCTGGCTGACAGTGTGAGGATGGCTAGAGAATCCTTGTCTCCACCACGTTCGATTCTGCTAGAAAGAGAGCCTCGGAGATACTCTGCGAAAGCGCTTTTGATACGCGCCGGCATATCTTTGCGCTTGTCCAGATGGTAGTCGATTACGCCCAGCAAGCGCTCCCATTTCACCTCGCGGGCCAAGTTCTGGTGAACAATTTCTTCCATGTCGGGCATCAAAGCTAGAAATGCGTTCAGTGTGGCTGTTCCCATGCTTTCTCGTCCACTTTTCGAGAGATGCCATGCTGCCATTCGAGCAGTCTTCCACCATTCTGTGTCAATCTCCTCTTGCATCTGGGCTATCACGTCTCGGTATGCCTTCACAGCGATGGATGTTAGCTCGTGAGATCCGCTCTGGTGATCTGTCTTCAATTGCGCTAGGCCTGCTACAAGTGCTTTGCTAGCTTCTTTGTTCATGTCGCCTTCGAACCAGACTCGTCGTAGACTGTCCTTCAGCCGTGGCACACCACCAAACCGCTCACTATCTTCAACTGTTGCCGGATTGTACCACTCCCAGGTTTGATGTTCCCAGTCGATGCGAATAGCTTCCTCTCCGTGGCCCCCTTCGTTTCGGGGCTTCAAACGGAATGCGAATGGACATATGGTCCATTCCCGATTGACTGAGTTATCAGTGAACACATACGGGACTCCTTGTCGACATAACTCCACGTCTCGCGAGGTCAATGTTGTCTCTTCTTCCAGCTCACGCCATGCTGCTGCAACCGGTGATTCGCCCAAGTTAAGGCTGCCAGATATGGGAGCGAGATAGTGCCTGCTGAAGTCAGAAAAATGGAGGCAGAAGTGTAAGAGAAGGCCTTGAATCGGGCTTACGCATATGTCCTGACTTTCTCGCTGCGTCGAAATAGTGCAACCTGGTCTTTTGAGAAAAGAAATACAGAAACCACCCGTCTCTTCTGGAGCTCGGACTGGGGTGGCATGGCGGAGAAATGGTGGGGGCTCTGCAGGTAATCATAACATCATAGAGTCACTTGACCAGTTGAGGTTGTGGATATAAGTTGGGCAAGTTCCTCGTGCTTATAACAAGTTATGATGCTAAACTTTGGAATGCTCCTGTTCGATGACTTTGACTTGTTGCCTCTGACGTCATACTAAAGTATCAATTCTAGGTATTCACAATGCTACTCACAGGGTCTTGCTTCTGCCATAACATTGAATACGAGCTTGAACTTGAATCCGCCGATGATGCTAGAACATCTGTCTGTCACTGCCGCAATTGCAAGGTTTGTCTATACACACTAATCTTAACATGATAACGCTAATCCCGCTCATTCAAACAGAAAGCTTTCGGAACGAATTACGGCCTGACAGCAAAGGTTCCAAAAGATGCATTTCACCTTAAGGCGGGTATTCCCAAGGAACATGCCGCGGATAATGGATCCGGGGTGGTGATTCACCGGGAATTTTGTGATAATTGTGGTAGCTTCATCCTCGAGTATGGAGTATGTCGGATCCATAAAATATCGATATAATAGCTTACTGACATAGTTAATAGGATACTGTCAAAGACCAATTCCGATACATCTGTGTTGGCTCTCTTGATGATCCAGAAGCCTTGCCTCCCAAGGGCGAGTTCTTCTGCAAAGCTCGTGCGAGCTGGATGCCTGAGATTCCAAGTGAGTCAAGTATAAGAGGGCTTTCATGCCGTAGATTGTCTGACCAGAATAGATGTATTCCACAAGCAGGAAGTGAAACAGTAATGGATGGGAAAGGCACTCGGCATTTTGGTATTGTTTATGTGTCACTATCTACTGCCACGCTTGTCAAAACCATGTCTGGCGTCAAAAGCTTTTCCCGAATCAAGATAGCATTCAAGAAATCATTACTATCCACACGGCGATATCCTTCTTCCAACGTCTTCTCGATGCCTGCCCGCAAGTGGCGCCGAGCCAATCGCCCCCGTGCTTCTTGGGGATCCGTGTCAACGAAGACATGATAGTCGGCCAACTCTGCAATTTCTTGCCAACCGGGCTCATTGAGAAGTAGGTAGTTGCCCTCAAGTATGATAATCGAAGCATCCGGGGTGACGGAAATGCCATTCTCCACCGGATCTTTCGCCTCGTGATCGAATGTTGGCGCGCGGAGAATATCTATATCAGACCAGGTTTCCGAGCCTGGACATGCCAGGGGGGTATCATCTGCCCAGGTGCGAAGTTGACGGACGAAGCACACAAAGCGGTTGACATCGAATGTCCAAGGGGCGCCTCGACGAATGTGCGCCTCCTTGGGGTCAGGAAGCTGGTCCAAAGCTGCTCTAGATAGATGAAAGCCATCCATGGAGAGAATTACTGCCTTTGGGGTTACTTGATTCAGCTGATAGACCACTTCTTGAGCTATAGTAGTCTTCCCTGAGCCAGGGATGCCTGCGATGGCAACCAGGTAGCGTGATTTGGGATGAGCATTAGCTTGTTTGCGGATAGTTTCTGCCAATCGACTGTACTCTGATTCCATCTACACTATTAGTATGAGGATGATAAGTCGATTTGAATTGGAAGTTTACCTTGAATCAATAGGATTTTCGATATTTGAATCGTAAAGCATAGATCCCAACAACCGCAGGAGTTCAATGTATCATGCCGGGAAAAAGAAGGAGTATAGGAATATACATCTTTTGGCACTTTTTTCAAAGGAAATTATTATGTAGAGGTGGAGGGGGTATCGGGTGACAGTGATCCGATGCAACGCAGTCTCGGTGTTGCGCCGAGTTGTAACTCAAATTGCGAACGATGCTGTAGGGGGAAATTGAAATGAGATTTGCAAGTCATCAGAGTAATTACTAGCTAGAGATGGGCTTCTGAACCATTTGGACAAGTACTTTACTAGAGATCCTCTTCGGCGCAAAGCGGCGCGAAAATGCAAAAAGGGAAATCAAAATCAAAATAAGCTGTCAGGCTTCTTGATGCTGGCTCTTAAGGTACATTTTCATCACTAGCAAAGCAAAACTACACAGAATTTGAACATGAAACAAGATAACTCAACATGCTGCGCTAAACCGGTTGAGCATACCTTCCTCCATTGCTTTTGCCTGCACGTACTTCTTAGGATACACATTGCCATGAGTCTCTCGAGTGGCCAGACAGATATGATATGCATCAAACGTCAGATTAAATCGCACGTGTCGGAATGCTGTTCCGTATACGTGGCGATAAAGAAGTATATTGAACCTTGAGGTGGACCTCAGACCGTGAGACGTCATGTTGGCCCCTGTGGGCAAAGAGTGGGATTTATGAACTCAAGATTGCTAGAAGTAAAGGGTTCTTAGCTTTAGAAACTAGTCCTAAATCACCTTCGATAAACATGGTCCACATCAGCGAGGCAATTAAGAGCGACCATGAGAAGATGCAGTCGTACTACAACGCCATAGTGAGCTCGAAAGACGCAGATGAGCAAACTCGTATCCAGAAGGAGTTTATCTGGGAGCTCACACGCTATACTGTTAGCGAAGAGCTGGTAGTTCATCCCGTGATGGAAGAGTTCCTACCCGATGGAATGGCGATCGCAGACAAGGATCGTCATGAACATTTCACGGTGAGCGGCCCTAACTGACTAATAATTGAATATTCTGACATTGTGAACAGATTAAAAAACGACTTGATGCCTTTCAGAGTCTGCATAGCTCTGATCCCCGCTTCCTTCCTACGATCAAACGCTTGATGGATGATCTGGCCAAAAGCTTTCATGACGTAGAGACCATCGATCTGCCAAAGTTGGAGAATCACATTACTTCCGACGAAAGCGAACAGCTGGCATATTCTCTGCAACGAGCGAAGGTGTTTGTGCCATCTAACTCACACCCAAGTGTGCCTACCAAGCCACTTTATGAGACTGTCGCCGAGCTAATTACAGCCCCTTTTGAAAACCTCCAGGGTTTGCTCCCTACATGGTCAGAGGATGAGCCAGACCCAAAGCCTCCAGAATGATCTAGGAGTCACAAACGTGAGAGCAAAGAAATGGTCAACTTTGATTTCTCCCAATCCATCAAATACTCGGGTTTGCATGTGTGTATACAAGACTTGGCTGCGATTAGGCTACTGGCCAGTATAATCCTTGTGCTGCTCCACAGGTTCCTCTATATCTTGGTCATTATTGTAGGCATTTTGTTGAGCTCTAGTTGGCGTGAGTAAAGGGAAATTGAAAGCATATCGTAGCATCTCACCTTGTGGAGCCACCGGCTAGACCATTAGAGTCCCTGCTGTGATCCCCAGAGGCACTAGAAAATTGATGGGGAGGCGGATCCCAGCCAATTTCGTTGCTAATGATGTCTATTGCATTATGCTTGGCTTCATTTGTGACCTTTGGGTTGTTCAAAGTCCTGAGGATCTATTAGTTCTGTCGAATGGTATGAACACTTTCCAGTAGACTGACCCTTTATAGCCACGTATCATGTTCAATTCATCTTCAACAGAGACCTTGAGCTCATTGTCTTCACCCAGGCCGGACATCGTGGATTTAAATACTTGGTGGATGTTGGAAGAAATCAATCAGTTACTATTCTCTCTCCTGGGGAGCCAATATTTTCGTAGAAGGGCGGCAGCAAACAGCGGGTTACGTCACACCCTCATCACACAAGGCAAAACAACAAAAAGAAGTGAACACCCAAAATAAAGATTGATTTGGCTATTCAGAGGTCCATATAAATAATTACGAGAGGTTGTTATACCCAGTGCGTCCATATCCAGTATATCCATCCTGGTTCAACATCTCCAAGTCGGCTTCTTCCTCTATCTTGTGGGTTCGAGTCAGGATTTTGCTTGGATGAAAGATGTTAAAGAGCAGGCAACAAATCAGCATTAACGTCGCGTCAAACACATAAATGAAGGATTCTTTGCTTTGAAGATATCCATCGCTTCCTTGGACATATTCCGCCACTCGGTAAATAGACCGGATCATGACGAGGGTGCTAGCAATATAGAGAACCTTCATGTAACGTGTCCAAGGAACCCTGGTGTCTCCCACAGCATACGATGGCGTGGCAAGCATACGGCGGTGGAAAACAAGGGAAACGACGATGAAGAATCCGAAAAATAAGATCTGCACGAAGAGTCCTACAACAATCATGTTGTTTCCCAGGTTGACCTTCGACTTGTCTTTCGCTGTAGCAAGGATGCCACCACCTATCAAAATAATGTTCATAAGCATTCCAAATTCCAGTTTAGAACAGATCACTTGGCTTACCTCCACTCTGGATGAAGAACGACAACACGTCACCCGCCACAAATATCTTAGTCAACCATGTTGGTCTCACCAGCGAACACGAAGCCCCGTTCAAAAGACGAATGATACGCCCAAGAATCATGTATATAGAGGCTGCGAAGAAAGCGGGCGCCAACAGAAGCATCAGGCTTTGTGCTATATATGGCTTGGTCGTCCAATTCGGGCTTTCTTCTGCACTGACGAACCTCGCAACGTATCCGCATGCCTCAACTAAAGTCCATATCAATCAGCATGTACTAGAGAAGGAATGAAGTCCTGGTAAAACGGATCATACAGAGGCCACCGATAAGAAATGGTATGAAGTACCACGATTTATTCCGACCCAATTGCCACAAGTGTACCACTGTGCTCAGGCCAAAAATAGCTGCAAATGGAATAGCTGCCCCAGATGAGGGGTTGTAGTGGTATAGCTTGAATCCTTCGGTCATCTTAGACGAGTGAGGTGAGTAAGGCAAACAAAAAGCTCGAAAGATTGGCGACGCTGGTGGGATGTGAAAAGGAATGGAAGGAGAATGGAAGGAAACCCCGACTTTTCTACTCGTGAACACTAACACTAAGCATTGGTTCCTTCTGTTTGTTTAAATAGATACAGCAGATACTGTAATATTGCATCTGCCTTGGAAATGGGGGGCATTAGAAAGGTGGGGATAGGCTTCACTCGACAACCAAAAACCAGGCTTTAAAGTCCTGAACACTAGTCTTCTTTGGTGTAAGGATACGAATTCTGATGTGGCATAGTCAAACTAGCTGCAGCTTGTTGCCCCTCTTCGATTGCAATGATCTACCCAATAAGCCTGGGTTTCCAGGATCATCATCCACTAGAATATCTTCTAGATCCCGGAAGTGGAAAACATCACGAATACGAGGACCCAGTCGCGAATAGTGCCCCTGGCCAATTTTTGTTCATTGATTAAAATTTCTGACCACCTTTCCTATAATAGAGCACAGAACGAAATACGATAGAATTGTCTATCTGTAGGACATGGATTCACGTACCCCAAATCAGGCTGCGAGAATATCGATTTGCCCCAGTTCAGCTATATAAATGCCTCCCAATAACCTATAGTGCTAAACAATTTCTCTTTTTCCCCATCTGAGCTCTACCTATAATTCTGAAAATGGCTTGGACTTTTTATTACTATACCCCGTCCAGCCCAGGTGCGGGTATATTTGTTGGGCTGCTCGGCGTGAGCACTCTCCTACACTTCTACCAATTGGTGCGAACGCGCTCATGGTTCATGATCCCCTTCCTGATCGGAGGTATCCGTAAGTTCATATAATCGAGAGCCTCCGTTGTTTTGATTTTCACCTCTCATGTCGCTTTTCGTTCTTTAGTCGAAACGATCGGTTATGTCGGCCGTCTGCTATCGTCAATTGAGGCCCCGGACTACACGAAGGGCCCATATATCATGCAAAGCGCTCTCATCCTGATTGCACCTGCTTTTCTGGCAGCAAGTATCTATATGACACTCGGAAGAATTATATTCATGCTCAATGGAGAGAAGTTTTCGTTGATCAGGCTGAAATGGTTGACCAAAATATTTGTGACGGGTGATGTCTTGTCTTTCTTGATGCAAGCTTCCGGTATGTCAATTTCCTCCAAGGCGTTGATCTCGGCCAATCACTGAGTCAACAGGGGCTGGAATTATGGTGAAAGACACAACAAATCCATCCACTGGCGAACGCATCATCATCGGAGGACTTTTAGTGCAGATCATCTTTTTTGGGTTCTTCATGATTACTGCCCTAGTATTCCAGTCACGCATCATGAGCAATCCAACGGGAATGTCTAACGAGCTGTCAAACCTGTGGCGTCGGCACCTAACTGCCCTGTATATCACCAGTGTTCTGATTCTGGTTCGATCGATCGTTCGCGTTGTGGAGTACATCCAGGGTTATGACGGATATCTGATGAAACAAGAAGTTTTCATTTATGTCTTCGATGGACTGCTGATGCTGGTGGCAATGCTGGTTCTCCAATACATCCACCCAAGTGAGATCAATTGTCTTATTGGTCGGGGAGATCGGTACTCAGAGAAGGTTTTCAAGACGCGCAAATTCGTGCCCGAATCAGCGTTGGAGATGAGTGGAGCCATAGAGGCGTAGTGCGTGGTGGTGGTCTTTCAAAATAGGCCTTTCGTGATAGCAAGACTGTGTAATGGATGAATCTGTAACTCAATTTCTTGAAAATGTTGCTCTCAAGTCTCCATCGGCAGTGGAATCGATTGATTGTTTTGCGGCCGCCCAACTTGCTCGTCTGCCCACTCGATATGGGGTTGCCAGTCAGAGGTCAAGGAATTTTTGATCTCTTCTAAAACCACACGGCCCCAAGATCCCACACACCAGTTCTCGCGGGCCATGTGCAAGAATCCGCAGTAATGGGCTAGCACCACGAGGGAAAAGGGGACTCTGTTGTCTAGATCATTGAGATACTCTGCTGGTGCTCGAATAGCCCAGCCTGCGGCAAGAGTCATTGAGCTGGGTTGTGCCAAAGTGAAAACCACAAGTTCTCGCAGATATTGGAGCACTCGCTCGTATGTTGAACAATTGTGATGGACAGATTGCTGGCCGCACTGAGCGTTTAGTTCATAAAGACGATCGAACGCAGTTATGACATGATCAGGAAAACAGACTTCTGGTTGCGTTACATCGAAGAGAGGCGCAAGATTGCTCTGGCGTAGAAATTCGATCTCTTTGTTGGCGACTGCCTGGACTCCGCGCGAGAGATGAAAGATTTCAATCAAAGAATTGAGGCTTGGGCCTTCGGCAGTCCAAGAGGAAAGTACACTCCCTAGTCCAAAGGCCACTACCAACCCAGCAAAACTCATCATTGCTTTGACGTTGGAATGGTCGATATTGGAAAGTTGCTCGGAGAACATGGATAGGGCAATGTTTTTGTGTGAAATTGCAACGCTCAGCCACTTGGGTTGGCTTTCAGGCTCGCGGAGTCTTGACAAATGTAGTGCGGATAGGCCCAAAATTCCATGCATCAGAAAAGGTGCCTTGAGAGCTTCCTGCAATACCACTAGCTCCCAGACCTTGCGGGTCTCCTCGCTGCGAGCTAGAAGTTTATGCGTATGCATGATCCACTGTAGCTCAAGTTCTAGCTGCTCCATGTTCAGTCCAGGGGTGCTTGCAGATGCCTCTGTGGCCTCGAAATGATCCAAAAGACCCAAGGTGTCCCTGTTGGAGGGAGATGTCACATTGTCTGCCGAGGTCTGCCTTGTGCGTCGAGGCCTTCGGGGTTGATTTCCCGTGAAGAAGTAAAGTCCCTCGGCATTGTACACACATTCGTCCTGTCGCTGGCTACAGGTAGTACAACTCGGGCGTTGCTCATCACACTGTGATTGAAAGTCAGGATATGGATACTAGGGGAGCGTTTTGCGTGGTACCTTAACTCTCCTCCGCTTACAATTGGTACACCCATGACGGGATTTAGTATGCGACCGTCTGAAGACCATTATCAGATCACCCCGACGACAAGCATAGAAACGGAATCAAACAAGGCGAAGACGTCCATCAGGTGCAGGGTGATGTGTCAGCTTGGTCACGTGTTTCTGATTTTAGGAGAACCGTGGAACGCTCGTCAGAATGTGGTCTAGCGCAAGATCTTATAGATCACAGCCCTCCAAGGCTGGAGGTGTCCAACTCCGAACAGAGTCGCTGTATGTCATTATGGGACTTGAGGAGTTCAAGGTAAAGATACTGATGTTTCATATTTGTCATTGATTGCCATCGTTCACGCAACCCATACTCTCCGGGTATGGAAGAGACCACGCTAACTTCCGCTAACTTCCTTGTCTCCCTTTCGCAAATTTGTGTGAAGTTGACATTTCTCGTCTCATCTAATCATATAAAAATCATATAGAATAATAAGAAATAGAGACAGCTCCAGGATATATGGAGGATGATTTGTAGCGGGCTCATGGTTGATGCATCCAAAACTTCAGTCCCTGTTTGTGAAGTATATACATTTTAACTTTACTATAGATGACACTACATAAGAACGCAAAGGGAGTAAGGTAGCAGCTTGGGATGAACACGTGAAATTAATAGAATTGAAGTCCACAGTTATATTTGTTTTAATTTAGCAAATATTCCCTGAAAATTCTATTGTCTCACCCTTGCATTCCATGTGAAGTCATGACGGGGATCCTCGTGCTTTTGTCTTATCCTTGGGATACTCCTAGGAGAGGATCTAAGTGGGACTGGACGCGCCCAGACTCGAGAAAATGAGGAAAGCCAGCAATTTGGGCGGTTAGTGGATAGTAAAGCGGCAAACATCTCTAGACAGACAATGCGGTCGCGTCTCCACAACAACATTGAAAGAATGTCGCATACTCTACAGTCGACATTGTACATACCTTTGGACAAGAGATGCTGTGATTTTCTGACTTGGACCTCATGTTCCCCTATTTCACTCGCTTTCGCCAATGTTTCCTTGTTTCACCGGTAGTTTGGGGTGCGCCATAGCGCGGGATACACGTTTCAGGTTGACACCCTCAGCATTAACCCCCGAGATAGTGACCAGTCCGCAAGTTGCGTTGGTCTATCCCCCTGAAGAATGGATCTTCACTAGTCGCGGTGGATTTCGACTTCTGGGCTAGAGCGCCGTACTGGGTCTTTCTGTGCATGTAACCTATCCCGGGCCTCCGCACGATACAACAGTGAAGTGGTCAGGCACTGAGCCACTCTGACTGGACGGAAGAATGGATCCTCAATGGACTTTTCTCTATTGAGGAATTAAATAGATGGGCACCTGCGGCTGGGCAATAATAGATATTTGGCTCAAATTCCTGTTCTGCGAACACGTTCGACACACTCACATTCCTTTCTCCTTGTTGACAATCTGGATTGTCTGCCTTTCTTTTAGTCTCTTTTTCGTTCAATTACTGTCTTTCTCTTCTGGTTTCTCATCTTCATCTTCTAGATCAAAGTCAATCTTGGACCTTGTTCGTTGCAAGCTCATCAAGATGGTTCCCTCACGTTCATTGAGCGCTGGTTCGCTGATGCTCACTTTATTGTCTTCCCCTGTAGCCGCCACAAGTTACTCCCTAGTGGAGACTTGGCAGGGGAAGAATTTCCTGGACTATTTCAACTTTCACACCGGAGCCGACCCGACGAACGGCTATGTGAACTATCTCGACAAGCAGAGTGCCGAGAGTGCAGGGCTAGTTAAGGTGACCGACAGCGGCAGTGTATACCTCGGAGTTGATCATAAGACCACGCTGGACCCAAATGGCAAGGGGCGTGATTCAGTCCGCATTGGAAGTAAGAAGTACTATGACCAGTCTTTGGTCATCGCGGATATTGCCCACATGCCCGGGAGCGTCTGCGGTACATGGCCTGCTTTCTGGTCTACTGGCAAGAACTGGCCCGGGGATGGAGAGATTGATATCATTGAGGGGGTGAACCTTCAAGATCACAACGAGATCGTCATGCACACTGCTGGTACATGCAGCTTGACGGACACAGATATGACTGGTGTTGTCAATGCCACTGGGTGTGGTGAGGACTTGGGAACCGTTGGGTGCGTGATCGAAGGCCACAAGGGCAGTTACGGCACATCGTTCAACGGTCAGGGAGGTGGTGTGTATGCCATGCAGTGGACCGATGAATTCCTCAAGATTTGGTATTTCCCCCGGAGCTCGATCCCGGCCTCTATCACTAGTGGCAAGCCAGATGTCACCAAATTCGGCACCCCCATGGCCTTGGTGGAGGAATCATGCGATGTTGCGAACGCCTTCAAGTCTCAGTCCTTTGTGTTTGATGTTACTTTCTGTGGTGACTGGGCTGGCGGTGTCTTTGGCGGCTCAGGTTGCCCTATGACCGATTCAGATTCCTTCCAAAGCTGCCACAACTTTGTCGCCAACCATCCCGCCCAGTTTGAGCAGTCTTACTGGGAAATCAACTCGGTCAAGATCTATCAAACTGGTGTAGAGGGAACTGCAGTGGTTTCCTCCCAGTCCTCCAAGCCCGCGCCCCCCGTCACCTCCTCGGTTTCCGAGACTCAGGCCATGGAAAGTCATGCTGTTGCTGCCACTACCGAGGCTGCTCCTGTTGTCTCCCAGGCTACCGCCCAGAACCAGGCCACTGTAGTGCACTCGTCAACTGACAGAACAGACGCTGTTGGAAGCATCCAGGCACTAAACCCTACTTCTGCTGCCCCTGCTGCTGCTCCTGAAAACACCGCTACTCAGGGGATCCAGCAATCTCCTGCCACCAAGAAAACCCGGACTGTCACCGCATTTGTCACTTCAACCAAGACTATCTGCCCCGAAGCTGAGAAATCTTCTTCTCTTGCGGCTTTCTGGGCCGCAACCCCAACAGTATCTCATCCTGTTGTGCCAGTTACTGAGATTCCCGGTAGCAGCCAGAATGCCAAAGGACCCACCTCAGGAGCTGTAGTTGTTCCTCAATCTGCCCCGGCATTGCAGGCAATCCCGGTCGGTCACAGCCAGCCCTCCGTCGAGACGGGTGTCTCTGCCCAAACCAGCCCGATTGCTGCAGCACACGACAGCGCACCTTCTCCCACCCCGGGATACTCAGCCTCCAGTGCTGCTCCCTCAGGCCCTGCCCATGCTGGAGCCCCCAGCGTTGATCTATTCGGTGGTTCCTGGCTGCGTCCCTCTGCTGCCCCATCTGATGTTGCATCTCAGCCTTCCAGGGCCCTCATCTCTGCACCAACTGATGTCTCCCCTGAAACTGCCGCCAGATCTTCCTCTGGTAACTTCGTTACTAGCGAGTCTACAACCGGAGCTGTCCCGGTTTTCACCGGTGCTGCTCACAAAATGTCACTGAGCGCCTCTGTGATTGTCTGTGCTCTGATTGCCTTTGCGATCTAATTGTTTGCAACTGGGTTTGTTTGAAATTGGCGGTGGATCTTCTCTCGTTTATTGTATAGTAGTAGGCCTTAAATTTGGCCGTAGGCGGCTTTGGGCACTTTTTCGATCAAGTCTGTCTATTTCTCTTGAAGCGCACTTCTTTATTTGTTCACACAGCTCGCAGTGGAATACTTAGCTGGCTAATGAAAATTTCGAGTTTCCATATATTTGTGACAGTCTATTACCTTACTCCCAATATTTGGACCTGCATCCATTCCCACAACTTCAACACGAAGTTGAACTTCCTTGCAAATGTTGGTCAGCTCTTGATTGATTTCCACCCTGTCAACCAATCCCGGGCATAGCACCTGAGAATACCATCATCAACAATCCTCAGTCGCCCATTTCGCAGTGTCACGCTATCCCTTTCAGCTCTTTCCGTGATAAATATCTTTGATTTGCTTGCCCCAAAAGACGATTGTCCCACATGCATTTGCTCATAATGGAGAATGAGCTTGACTGCTGGATTGGCATGCTCTTCACCCCTTGCCTCGCTCTCACGAAGCCTGCGCGACCATTCCTCGAAAGGCAGCGTATCAAACTCGAACCCACTGTGTTTAAGCGTGTCCAGTAGAGATGACCAAGGGAATGAGCACCGATTGCACAAATTGTAAATAAAATCATCCCTATTTGCAGCTTTGACCAAATCGGTCACACTGTAGAGGAACATACCGGATTGAACCCGTCGTCAATTAGACTAGTAACGGTGTGGTTGATCATATCATCCAAGTCCTGTCCAGTATAATAGTCAAACGGGGCCGCATCACTCACGGAACGAGGATATGCAAGAATCGGATACTGAACAGAATCAGCAGCTCGTAAGTGAATCAAATCGTCAAGTACTTGAAGTGGTCCAAATTCCTGAATGAGTGGATTGATAGTACTTAAGAAGGCATCCTGCGTCTGATCACGGTGTTGGATACCCATTGTGAAATGCCTGCGGGGATTTCATGAAACGATGAGAAGGGTGATACGGCAGCCCCGGACTTGGAGTACGATATAAAGTCAATTATTCTTTAAGCGTCTACGGCCAAGCCGTTGGGTATGGACTGATCTGTCGCCATGCACCGACTGCATTCGGGGTACCAGGAAAGATGTCCTTCCGCGTGTGGAGAAAGTTACACATATCACACGACGTTAATCCGTTGGTAGACTCAGTTGTAATCGTCTGTAGGTGCCGAGAAGGCTCCGCTATTGAAATCTACCTGCAAGGCTGGTGCGTATCGGATTTCTGTTTGACCGAGGGAAGATCCTGATAGGAAATAACCCTACACAAGCACTCGATGCAGCACAAATTTAATGCTGACAGATCGGCTGGCTGTAGTTGCCTTCTTGCCAGGTCTTTCTACCCTGCTTGTGATAGTCGGAGTGGAAAGAAACATTGTCTCATCTTTCATCTCATATCCGACAGCAGTCTTCAAAGATGTCTCGAAAATCCAATCCCACGACATTCACTGTTTAACTTTAATCGCATTCATCTGTAGAATTGAAATCGCATCCAGCGAGAATTGTTACACTGCGGAGCTGCCTGAGATGCCCGAGCCCGTCGGGATAGCTCAGCACGCCATACTTCCCTCTATGGTGGCGTGGTACATGGAATTGTGCCTACTTATTGATCCACGATACCACCGTCGGCGACACCGTCTCTAATACACCGTGGGTGTGACCAGGTGTGGAATTCAGCGTTAGCTGGGTGACATCTGTGCAGACTGGGGGTGTACGCTCTCCAATACGCTCCGACTAACTGTTGGCGACTGACTGTGGCGTGGAAACCACTCAGCTGTCTGCTTTTTGTGTCCCAACACTTCAAGTATTACGAGACCAGTGCTACATTGAGACTCACCGGGTACACAGCAAACGCTAACTGTGCAGGCTCAGCCTCACTATCTGCCGCGAACATACATCTCCGTTTATTGTCAAAAGGACAGAGACAAAGCCAGGATACACAAAGCCAGGATACCACCTCAAATGGCATATGGGGTAAATGGGCTTAGCATTCGGCATTCAAGTTGTTTCCCAAGACGGGGTACGGAATCTGTGGAGCTGCATCGTTCCACCTTGGAAATCTGGGGGAATGGGAACACCCGTATCGGAATGCTGCCCTATAGAGCCGATATATACCTTTCAATCGCGATTGTTCTTGGCAAACGGTCTAGTAGAATCCCTTCCGCTATCTCCTATGGAATGCTGACCGTTCGATCGGGCCCTGACATGCCGATAAATCCAACCGTTTTTTATATAGGCTCACTAAAGTTCCAGGAAGAACCCTAGACTGCATTCCTGGATTGCAGAACGGTCCAGGGTTGGCCCGTGGGCCTTGGACGAAAGGGTATATTGATCCAGCATAGTTGTGCCCTATACGTTTAACACCCCGTCTTTCTAGTTCATTCCGCTGATCTGAAACATCTATCAATCCCGTCGGGGAGCGCTTCCGTGAGTGTATGCAGGCAGTCGAGATGAACCATCGCCTAGGGGGACATTCTTATTGGGTAATAGGCGTGAATAGGGGCTGATCATGTCACTGAGAGCACACAAGACACTGGTTTTGGCAAATGCGACAAAGGTTTCATTTTTCATTAATTTCCTAAACATGCCAGAATAACGCCGTAAATACACGTGCAGCGATGCAGGATGCTTTTGCTTCAATCCTAGGAGACTGAATCAGATCCCTATTGGATCTTCTCTCCAAGGAATTGCAGAACCCTCTGCCATGATTGACTGGCTCGCATAGCATGCTCATCTGGAACGACCGGGTTGTCCTCTCCGGTTGTCCGTGAGAAGACCTCCATGCTGACCCACCCAGTATAGCCCAGGCGTGTGATACAGGCATCTGTGACCTTGCGGATCGGAAGGTATCCACCGCGCTCCTCCTCGCACGGGAACAGGCGAGCATTCCGCGACCAGGCTAGCAGCGTGGGCAAGCCTGGAGCTTGGAGGAATGGCATCTGCGGGTCGACCCGCTCGCCGTCGGCAAGCTGGACCATCAGGACCCGGCTCGGATCGATTTCCTGTACGAGTCGATCCATCGAGTCCTGCAAATCCTTGTCGGCGCTTGCAGGCAGCCGCCCTGTTGGGTCGGTGGGGTCGGCCCACAACCGGGCTGCAATGTTGAATGTATCCAAGCATACGCCTAGATTGGGCCGATTAGCCCGCTTGATCACATCCCAGGAATCCTCCCAGGTGTTGATGTATGTGCCCCAAGCCAGTGCTTCGTACGCGATGCGTATTGGGAATGCCACATCGGCGGCCTCGGCCAGGTCGGCGGCAAGCCGGTCTCGGTCATCTGTGATTTCGGAGGGATCGAGGAATGACGAAGGGATCAGAATGAAAAGGGAGCCTCCGAGGATTTTCGTCAATTGTACCCAGTGCTTGAGTTCGTCAATCCGCTCTGCATGGCGAATTGGGTCGATCAGGCCTTCGTAGTGCCGAAAGGGTTGGAGGGCTAAAACTCGCAAATGGCGCTCAGCACATAGATCTCGGATGGCGTGTGCTGCGTCGATCTCGTAGTCTCGGGCAGTGCGGGGCGAGCTGTCATTCAACTGGAGCGTCTTGGCGAGCTGTGCGAGATCATCGTGAAACAGTTCGAGTCCTTGTTGACCATTGCGGGCAGCGGCATCGAGCTTGGCGGTGAGCGGGTGTAAATGCGCAGCTCCCAAGCTCACAGTGGCAATGGCCGGCTTCCATGGCAGGCCAAGCTCAGAGATAGGGGGACTGGGAAGGGAATGCATCGGTAAAATGGTGTATGTTTCACATGGGACTAACAGCCACTAGTAACGCCTTTTATAGAACAAACCAGATCTCACCTCACCGGGACGCCTCTGTTTCCGTGCTGATCGTATGTACTTTCAGGGGTTTCGCTTTCAACTCATAAAAAGTGGGTAAATGTAAACCACTCTTGAGATCGTCCGGATTGAAATCGCACACCGTACGCCAAGCCTGTACACCCTGCGGTTGATCTCGGCGATCGCCTCAACTGCCCTTGATGCGGTCCTAAGCTGACGTCTGATATCGCCTGAATTATGACTGTTTCTGAGACAGATCGATGCATGGAGAATAGAGAATACCATTTGTGATAGGAATCAATGTCACAATGTCACAGTAACTCGAACAAACGGATATATAAGTTGGAATTAGCATCCAGCCAGAGGGTTCTATCACCCCGGCCTGTGCTACACCAAGAAGCAATTGCACCGACGTTCCAACATGACGATCGTCATGCCCTTGTATTCTTTAGTCAACCGCATCGGCGCGATGGCCTTAGAAGTAGCTTCAGAGCCGTCTCCACAAGCCCACTTTGAACTGTTGCAAATGATTGACCAGCTTAGGTCGGCAGTGGAAACCCCGACAGAGACAGTTTTGTGTCTAATCTACCAGGTAAACATGTTCTACCGAGGTCGAGTTGTCATTCTGACCGAAGATAGCCTCCGCAAAATGCTGCGTTGCGCACCGTGATTGAGTTGGGTATCTTCGCCGTGCTGGTGGAGAAGCGGCACAGAGAGACGGGAGTCTCTGCCACTCAACTGGCCGAATATACGGGCGCAGACCCTGATTTGATTGGTATTTTCTACATATACTCGCAGGTGGCGTGAACTGGCTAATTCTGTGAATAGTCCGTTTGATGCGTGTCATGACAGCGCTCGGGCTTTGTTCCTTGTCCTCGGAGGCCTATGTTGCCAGTGAGAAGACGGTGGCGCTCACCCAGCCTATTGGCAGAGATGGAATCCCATGCATGTAAGCTGGTGGTAATTCTTTCTTTTCTTTTTCCACATATATTCAGTGAAGAAATAGATATGACCTCACGGTTCCAACCCTCAGCAAATTGCCCGAGTACCTCCGATCCCATGATTATGCCAAACCCCAGGAGTACACTCACTCACCCATGAAATGGGCGGTTGGCCAGAGTCAGTTTGAATGGCTGGGGAGTAACCAACAGCAGCAAACGCTCTTCAACTCCTACATGGCTAGCCGTCGCGAGGGCAGACCGATGTGTTTCAACACATACCCTGTTGAGCGATTGCTTGGCCATGCGGTGCCATTTGAAGACACTGTGTTCCTGGTCAATATTGGCGGAAACCAGGGTCATGATTTGAGAAATTTCCGGAGAGAATATGGTCATTTGCCGGGAAAACTAACCCTACAAGACTTGCCCAGCGTGATCGAAGGGGTGTCTAGTCGAGACGCTGGGGTCCAGGTGATGGGATACAGCTTCCTGGGTCCTCAACCTGTCAAAGGAGCGCGTGTGTACTACTTCCGGGCCATTTTCCACGACTGGCCTGACGACATTTGCCAGCAAATCTTGCGTACCACCGTGTCGGCTATGGCCCAGGACTATTCGCGCATCATCATCGTGGACTTTGTTTTGTCCGACACTAAACCCCCTCTGATGCAGGCTTCGCTGGATATCCAGATGATGAGTATTGGAGCTGGGGTCGAAAGATCGGAGGGACAGTGGAGAGATCTGCTGCACAGCGCTGGGCTGCGAATTGCTGGCATTTGGAACCAGAGCCCAGGGATGGAGTCGGTGATTGAAGCTGTTCCCATTACGACGTAGGATACGGTGAAGTAGTGTAGGGAAGAGAAGACAAGTTGGAGGAAAAGGCAGCAATGTACAGAGTACAATTAAATCAAATATTTCGCGCCTGCGAGCACTGCATTTTCCACAACCACAGTGCCGCTACTAGTCTATTCCTCCAATTAACGTTATACGGTTAAAGTAGTCCGTAAAGCTTTACTGATATCTAGTAACTAACTTAGGGCCGCCGCCCTAGTCTTTACTCTAGAAGAACCGGAGCCTATATTATAGAGCGAGTATTATACTACTAGTAAAAAGATCGCTATAAACGTCCTCTATCTTACTATAGTACTATATAAGCTTTTCCTTAGCCGCGTAAAGAGCGGTAAGTAACTTATAAGCTTCTTCTAGGCTACCTTCTTCTTTATAAGCTACCTAATCGACTTCTTAAGATAATTAAATAGCTTATTATGGACAGTAAAGATAAGGTAGGTAGTGATATCCTTTATCTTTAGTAGTGTAGTCGTGAACTAGAAGAATAGCTATATAATTAAAAGTAGATAATTATCTATAAGAGGTTTAGAAATAAGGTTAAAATTAGATCTTCTCTAAGTCTTAGAGGACCTTACTTTATTAAAAGTGTTAATAATCTCCCGTTTCTAATACCTAAAGCGAACTAATTGCTCCTAGTAGTTAGTCTATTCTCAGGCAAGCCTTAGGCACCTGGCAGGTCGGGCCCTGACAGTTAGATAAATGTCGATCTAAAGAATAACACTACTTAGAGGCAACACATCAAGCCCTAGGCCGCCCAGTGCGCAAGTAGCTGAGCGCATGCATAGGGCATAATGACCGTGCATGTCGCTTCTCACATTAGCTAAGCGCACCATGTATTTATTGCTCTCGCTGGCCCTCGCATGGAGGACCAGCAATTAGTCTCTCAATACACCTGTACATACATTTACCGATAGACTTTACTTCCCGGACTCATCCTGCTACCTAGGACCTTGCAGGGTCCTAACACTAACCGAGAAGTTATTTTGAACTTAGTTAGATAAAATGCTATTAGAGCGACGAGCGGGTATAAACCCCTAGGGCGGAGGCGACAGAAATGCGCTCTAGGCAGCTTGTTCTAGAGGACACCATAAGACCGTGCAAATACTGCTACAGCGAGGAGCCGGGGTTAACGCCTAGGGTGGATGCTACGGAAATGCGCTCTAGGTAGCTTGTGCTTGTTATATAGGACACAATAAGATCGTGCAGATGCGCCTAGAACATGCAGCTGATCAATCTGTACACTGTCGCCCCCTTTTCAGAAGATTTAAATGATCATGAGGCTTAGAGAATACACAATCTAATCAAACCTAACTATACTTTCTTCATCCCCAATCACTCCGCCACCTCGGTAACGGTGCGATAATTCTCACCATTGGTATCTGTTGTTGGAAATAGAACATGAACTTTAATTTGAGATGATGCGGCTTTGGGCCGCTTCATTCCTTCTTATCGGAATAAGAGCATATAGATTGTACTGTATATATTTGGCTGCGCTTTTCGGCCATCTCATTGTGTGGTTAATAAGCCGCCTTTTCTGTCATTGACAGACCGGATGTCTATCCTATTCACTCACCTACCTTATAATGGCCGTAAAGTAGGCAGTGGTACTGTAATGTAAGCTAGGTGTATCTTGCTGGCTTACTATTGTCATTTTCATTCAGCTTTCAATGGCCATGGAGTTAAAACTACCCGCTAATGACTTGGCAGTGGGGCACTCATAATAATTTTCAGTGTTCAGGGCGGAAGCTGTTTTCACTTCTGACTGTATCTGTCAGATTCAATTCAACCATCGAGATCTGGCAATTTATCATGGCGCGCTGACTAATTTTAATATGTACTTTTGTGTGTGATTTCTCAGGCAGAGGCCATGCAGTACTCATGGTAGATAAATACCCTGAAATGTAGGCTGATCGTTTCCAACACATAGGCTAAAGTGTTCAAAAAGACCGAGAGTGCAACCAAAGGCCAACAGCTTTGTACAATCCTGACTAATCTTTCAATGGAGACACAATATTGCTTTCTCTTCTTTAGTTCCCCTCCCACCAAGTGTAGTTGTTAGTTTCGGCGGGAGTGTCAAAGACGAGCTCGGAGCTGCTGTTCATGGGTCTGTCGGGCCAGACGTTGAGCAAGCCATCCCAGATCTCAATGTCTTCGTACTGCACGCTGACGCCGGGTGCATTGTACAAAGCGAAGCCATTGCTGTCCTCCCTGCTGGGATAGATGCGGCCAGTGAGAGCGAAGCGGTCATTGACAAAGATCTCGACGAGGGAGCCGTCGACGAATATGTTCATTTCGATCGGTTCTGTCATAGGCTTACAGCCACGAATGCCTGCCATCTGGTAGGGCTCAAAGTACCCAGCCAGCGTCGTGTTGGGGAACATCCTGATCTGGGAGGAGTAGGCGCGGTCCAAGACGACGGACTTCTTGGAAGGATCGTAGTAGATGTTCGTGTATTCCTCGCGACCGGGCGAAGCAGCGACCGTCACACCTGTGATACCCGTGGTGTTATTGATATTCAGCTTCAATTCATAGGAATTACTGAGAGTGCTGGGCAGGCGGATGTTACTGGTGTTGCTGCACTTCTTCTTGCTACAATGAGACTGGATGTGGTGAGAGCTACGGCGAAGCCCCGCAACTACATCGCTGGCTGGGCGCACGCCCAGGGTGCTCGCAGTCCAGGTGCCATTGGGGTTTGACATATAGCGGGAGTTGCCAGGGGTGGTGTCGGCAGGGTTGTGGACAACACCGCTGGTCTCTTTGACGAAGAGCTCCCGGGCCAAGGACAGCGCTCCTTGGTAGCCTTGCTGCATGATGCCGAAGTTGTTCATGTCCTCGCTTGCCCAGCCGTACTGAATACGGCGGTTGTTCTTGGTGTCATTGAACGAGGTGAGCTGGCAGATCATGTTAGTATTCCATCGTTCGAGTATATCGCATGGTATTGTTATGATCTGATTCTTACCGCATATAGAATACCCCAGTCGCTCGCACCGCCTGAGACAGGGTTGAAGGCAATGCTGCCATTCGGACGGGTGGAAATTTCCCCCTCATTCCACAAAGACCACCTCCGGTCATGGAAGCTGACCTCGCCTCCTTCAGCACCCATGCTGACGAAGTAGCGGTCGTCAATAGCGAAAAAGTTAGAAACTTCAAAGTTGAACCCATAGGAACCGGTTTCCCTCAACGAGCCCAAGGTACTGTTCGCTGTGGGTTCCCACAGAGCACCAAGGAAAGTCCAATTGGTGAGATCAGACGCAGGAGCACTGTACAAGGGCATGCGAGGGCCAACACCCTTGATACCGGAGCCAAATATGGCATAGTAGTGAGGCTCGAAGTTGTCTAGTAGCGTGTCCAGCTGGGGCAGCGGGAGGTAGAATGGGTCCCGCCAGCCGGTGACGTTCCAACCGTCAGGTGGGCTGCTGATGACTGGGTTGTTGGCATATTCTTGCCATGTCACTCCACCGTCGGTGGAGTATGCCAGGCTTTGGCTTTCGGTCCCAAGCAGATAGGGTAAGGTATACGAGGTTGGCAGTCTTGAAACGGATGTGTAGAAGGCGAGAATTGTTCCATCGACTTCACCAGAGATATTGACGGGCTGCGCTGTTCCGGAAAAGATGCCCAGATGGTTGTACATCAGTGGATCGTGGTGGTCGCTAGTCAAGGTGGTTGTACCAATTGACTTCGCTTCTCCGTCTTGCCATCCTGCAAGTCCATTGCCGGGGTTGTTGTCAATATCAGTCCAGGTTACGAGGTCGCTGGACGTTGCGTGTCCCCACGATATGTTGCCTATATTGATGAGCTATTTAGCACGGAGCTTGCTAGGCAACTAGGAGAGGGAAATCGTACCCCAGTTGACATGATTGGGGTTAAACTGGTAGTGCATATGATAAATGCCATCAACCGGATCGTACATAGGGCCACAGGGGTCCTGGATCAATGGTTAGTGACACTTAGTCCAATTTAGGGGTTTTCGGAATTGGAAATAAGACATACATTCATCCACCCTGCAGGGGCCGAGAAATGGGAGTATGGTCTCCATCGAGTGAAAAGGCTATTGTTTCCCATTTTCTCGACCATGTCCTCCGTCAGGGTTTGACCCCATGCGGTCGAGACGATGACACGGAGCATCACACCAAGAATTGCTGTCTTCAAGGCCATATTTGCTGTTTGGACTACTCACACCTCCAAGTGATGATTGATAGCGCCTTCTTATAATGGAAGGGGAAATTTCTCATTTTGCTTCCCCGGGATCTCGTCGTAATATCTTCGGGTGAAAGTCTAAGCCCACGGGGTTCCAGATTATCCCCCACAAATTACTCAAGTACGCTGATGAGTTGGGGAAGCATATCTGAGTTCTTAATCGGGGTTAAAGAAACTCAAAACCGACGTCACGAGGATACTGGGCTGTGCTCACAGCCAATTGCAGTTAGTCGGAGTAAAACGGGGTTGCAAATCCCCGAGATACTCCCGAGTCTTCGATGCCAAGCCACAACGTCGGGGAATCTAAATCTAACTGAACTGGACCAAAGGCCCCCAGTGAGCTCGCACTAGGAGACAGTCCTCGCTAGGCTATTGTGACAATGGATTCATACCTTTTCATGTTGTCCGGCGTTAATCCCCGTTGGGGAGACAAGAGTGAATCCGCCGTGGTTGTGCCGCTGCGGCCCATTATGGGGTAACCCGAATTTATTGTATCACAGTATCTCCGATTTATTAGAATCAGGGGTGGATACTGTATATCGTACTATCTCAAGCTCCATAGTATACAGAGGAATTAAAATATTATAGTCTAGAGTTTCCCCGAGCCTCCGAAGACAAAGCTATAGCAGATTAAAGGACGTATCCGGTGTACAAGTGCGGCCCAAAGAGTGGTTATCAAATACATATCGATGCTGCTACAACATATATGTAACGTAATGTCTCGACCTATACCACATGGATAGCCTGACAATAGAATAGGCGGCTTGACCTTGGCAGGTTCTGCCGAG